TTTCATCATCATTACTGTTCTGAATCTGACTTCGAATTATTTATTACTATTGAATAAAGACCTATTAGTCCAGTCAATGAATTCTCGAAAAGGGGGTATTGAAGGGAATGGCGGGGACACAAATTTTTTACTTGAGGACATTGTTTGGACTGGTAAGGAGGTAAACATACTTGAAGCCTCCACTCTTTGATAGTGAGCCAGATGTGGGAGTGAGGGGGCCCAGAATGTCATTTTTTCGAGTTTTCGCTTATATCAAGAAAACTATCCCTCGATCGCATCGACAAAAACGTTCAATACAAAATTAAAGCCGATACAATTTGCAATATGAGTAATAATATAACTTTTTTCGTTACTTTGTTTAGTTTTCGATATATCCGTCCTCAACTATCCCAAATTTGAAAAAATAAAAATTTACCTTATGTTTTTTTTACTGTTTTTGACTAGCTTTACCTCCTTATTGCTTCGTTCTACGATAAATAATAATTTTTTTTTACTCACTTCTTAAGATCACAAACTCCTCCCTCTCGTCAATTCCATTTTCCAGTTCTATGCAAAAACGTTTTTAAAAGAATTGGTTTTGTAATCTCTCCTAATAAAAGGAAATTTTAAGATTTGAATTTTTAAAAAGTTATTTTTTCACCTTAAACAACATATAAGTAAGACTTTTTTTTAATATATGCTAGTCACCCCAACTAGTTGATTCAGTTGATCAATTTGATACTTCCATGTTCAATATTTATTCGTAGTAGAAGATGAGATATAAAAAAAAAAAAAAAGTGTTTTGAACTGTCAGTACCTTGGCCAATACAGATGAGTTTCTTAAAATAAAGTTTTCACCTTCATCTTTATTTTATCTCACTCTTTCTTCTCTAAACAAAAATATTTAGTTTAGTATATATATTTAATTAGCTTTTAAAAATTTTTGTTTACAAAGTACAGCTTGAAGTATCGGGTTTTGTAGCCTTATTCGTTACGCTGAAGTGGACTCAGACCACAGCCCAGTCCCCACCACAGATCCTATACACACTGTTATTTTAAGTTTTACGTTAAATATGAACTTTTTGAAGTGAAAACATCTTTAGGCGCGTTTTGCACTTTTTTGTGAAGAATGAATTAAATTGAGCTGTGAGATCTTCGATGTGTAACGCTCGGGTAAAGGAGGCTGAAGAATGAAATGTTTTTGTATATGAATTAAAATATCTCAAAAATAAAAATCGGACCTGCATACTGTAAGCGTAAGCGAATTCATTCATTAATTTTCCAGCATTTCATCCCTTGTACTATTATTCAAAATTGTATCTCAACGCGACGCCATTTTAGAGAGGAGAAAAGGAGTTTTTGGAAGATATGGATTAAATTATCTCAGAAACTAAAAATCGGACTTGCACACTGTAAGCGAGGGAAATGTTTAGTATTTCATCCTCTTTATAATGAGCTATTATTTATTTATATTTCATATTATTAATTTCTCCTTGTTGATATTTTCATTTCTGTCGTATGGTCTAGAGCACACACCTTAGTTTATTTTTTATTGATTGACTAGTGATCTCATTATTTATTATCTTTTTTTTTTGTTCTTTCCTACCTCGCCATTTTAGAATATGCGGGATTTCCCCGAGCCGGATGATGAGGGCGGGGAACTAAAAATCCCCTCGGGCACCGGGACGCGAACTCGTACTTATTTTCGTATCTCTAAACTTCGTATATATGGTTGCTGGGCAACTCGCGGTGCTGTGCACATGCTTTAGCCCATTCGGCCATCCCGCCCCCTATCATTTATTAACTTTGTGTATTCTTAATCACTTGAATCTGTCTTGAATGTTAACAACCCAGCCTTAATCTTAAATTTCTTTCCGAAACCAGATACAACCCCAATAATAATAATTGTTGATAATAATGATCAATAATAACTTTCTAATTACACCGGGTATACATAATAGAAATTCAAAGTCATGCTTGTCTTACAATATAAAAATATACTAAATTTCGTAAGTGTATTACATTTGCTGTTGAGAAGTAAAACAGGTTCTGGAAGTCTCCCATTTCCACTAGAAAGAAAGATCCACCCTCTCCTCCTTAAGATTCAAAGGGTGGTAGTAAGTGGGTAGCTGACCCGCTAATCTAAATCCTCCGAGTGGGGCTTTGATTCAGCCTTAAAAGATAGTGTGATTAATTGCCGCTTCTTAATTAGGCTAGTGATGGAGATCCACGATTCCCTTCTTATCTCCCCTCTCTACTTTGTCTCCTTCCTTTTTCATCTTCTCTTACTTTTTGTCTTTTACCGTCGCTGGTAGTAAAACTCCCCCGCATCATTCCCTTCCTAATTCCTTCTGAAATATTACCACCTCCTGTCGTCGGTTCATTTCGCCCTGGCAATGATGGCGAGTACCTCCTCTCTCTGTGTTGTAGCCTATATTACTCCTTCCTGGCTGAATTTAAAATTCCTCTTCCCAGGCAGAGATATACAGGAGTGAGAAATAGGAGTAGAAATAAATAAATAAATAATATTATATTAGGTACAAGTTTTAAAAGATAATATTTGTTTGTACTTCATATAATATTTATTAACATTGTATTATTGCCACATTATCAAACTTTGATTAGACTTTATTTCAATTGACCATTTACGTGTGTTTTGGCAATTGTTTTTTCAGATTTAATTCCTAAAAGTAACCAATAAATTTTAAACAAATATAAATTATATGAAATATTAATCTTTTGTTTCTGTTATCATTCTAGGCAAATACTGTTTTAGTGACATGGTCATGAGCTTTATATTTTTTTATCACACCTTATGTCAGTATTGCAAAAAAATAAAAATAAAATTTGAATGATTACAACGTGTAATTAATTGATAAAATGGAAATTATTAAGTAGAATTTGCAAACGTAAACATGGGCCTAAAAATGTATTCGTTAATGTCGTTTTGAAAGTAGACCAGTGCAAAAGAAAAAACCTTGGTTCTTTAAAGGACATGTAAAATTGTTGGGCTTTTAAGGAAAGCAGTGGATGGAACTATGTACGTCAATTAAAACGGCATCGAACCTTCGGAATCTCTTAAACTTTCTATTTATTTAAACATGGGCCGATTCTGGTCAATATTGCCTTTTCAGGGAGATAAAACTTCCAAGGCTTCAACAATTCAATAGCTCTTGGATCATACAGAACCGTACAAAATATATCAGTTGTGATATTTATAGATATTTTTTGTTCTAAGTTGACTAAAGACCTGACTAAACTTATGCAAGCCAAGCATTATACTTTATTAATATTTTACATTATTCTTTGAAGCTCTTTGTTTTTTTGGTTGCGACCATTGCAATATGGCGTTAGTGTTGAGCGATGCACCTCGAAATCTGTACTATTAACTGAGGTTTAGAAAAGAAATTGATAGATAAAACCTTTTCTGTTTCCACACTCTAGGTGTTATTAATGATCAAGGGAGGAGAACAAGTTTCAACAGGTCCTGGCTTATTGCTAATATTGACAAAGGTTATAACAACATGGAGCTGACTCCTGCCCCGCATCGAGGCGGTGTCAGTGCGGCCATGTCTCTGAATAAATTACCATGTTCCCTCCAACTTTGAGCTTCAACATGTGAGCAATATTCAGCGCTTCTTTGATTTCGAGCTGTTGTTGGAAAGTTAGCTATTTAAAAATATAATACCCTTTTGTTGCATAATAATTCCAGTGTAATGGCTGGGAATTCGTGGTTTGCAAATTAATTAGGCCTCCGCATTTTCAGTCATAAATCCAGTTTATTCCTAATTAATCCAAATTATCGTTAATTCATGTATCATCAAGAAAACAATACAGTCTTGTGATAATGTACATCTGAAAAAAATAAAGCAAATATAGATAGCATTCCAGACACTAGTAAGTAGTTAAAACTTAATTTTTTACAGAAAATACTCAATTATGACAAGAAAAAAATTGTATATGAAATAGGTAAAAACATACTATGTACTGTTTTGCGAAAACAGGTAATAAGTAAATAATTAGAAAGTAGATTGGTAAAGAATTCGATAAACTGATATGTGAGCATTCATTCATACAATCCCTAAAATTTTCTTCAAAATCGAATCAACGGTAGTGGGTGTTATGATTTGACTATAGACAGATACTGAAAAAAAATGTTTTCTAAATTGTCTTATTAATTTTGTCCTTCAGTGGTGAGGAAGTAAATAAATAGAATAAAGAGATTCTTAAAATACTGAAATATTAGATGTCTAAATATAGAGAAAAAAAAATAAGCTTATATCTCTTAATTAATTCTTTACTGATAACTCTTAGATCAGCTGTGGCTATACATATATATATAATCTAAAACAGTTGCCAGACACACAGTGGTCGGAAAAGGGCAAAACCCTAGGACTTTTAATTTAGGTAGATATCTTAAAAACCGAAATGCTTTATAACATATCAAGCCTTCTGAATTAATATAGTTTATAATTATTTTAGTAAATAACTTAATTTAAGAAATAACTTATTTCCGATCTTATTTCACTCATTTCAACAAATTACTCTACAAAAAATTATTTTCAGAACTCAACAGAAACTCCAAAAATAGTTTTAATGATAGATAAAAAGTTGCAAAATAAGTTTTGTAGAAACAGGCATTTTATTTATATCTTATTAAAAAATCACGAAAACGAGTATTTTTAATCGTGCTTAAGATGTTGGAATGTAAGTTTACTATAACGCTCGTTAAATACATAGGAAATATGAATTATCAGAATATCCTGAAATTACAGGTTTTTTTTGCCGCTCTCAGACCACTGTGAGGCGCCATGATGCTCCCAAACCTCAGGCTAGGTTGGGCGAGTACATCGTCGAAGGCTCTGATGATTAGATAAAGAAAAACTTATAATTTCGAATTTTCAGGCTCATTGAAACAATAATTTCCATTACTTTTGTACACCTTGTCATTTATCTATCCTTCAAATTGATTCCTTACCGATCGAAATTCCACCAAATTCCAGACCCGATAAGGTGACACAATGGGAGGCGAAAGCCCTGATCCAGCAGAAGAAGGTAGGATATAGGATAAAGTTAGTTAGGCAAATCCAGTGACCCAGGCCGTCGATCCTGAATAAAACAAATGCTACGTAACTGGGAGGTCTGGAATAAATCGGATATCCGCGCCTCGTCTTCCCTCTGCCCTTATGTTATCTATTCTTCCTTTAGCCTTCATGTTTATGGTATGGCTTTTGTACATGAGAAACATAAAAATATCTTATTCGAGTTTTCTCCTACTGCACATAATTTTTTTTTCTGAAATGGATTAACAGACTTTATTGATAGGGAGGGTAAGTTCCTAAACTCGTTATAGAGCTCATGGATGAGATCAGCACAGGCGGATCTAGGAGAGTGTCCACATCACGTCATGTATGGAAAAATTATTAGAGTTCTTGTCGCGTTGCCGGAGGGTGTTTTAACTCTTAACCGTCATCGTCCCTTTGCTCGGGAAAACTCCGTATAGCTTAAAAGACGAAGAAGGAGAGAAAGAAAAAAAAAAAGTATTTCTTTCTCATGTTTTTGTAATCTTCCAGGAGTTTTAACCTTCTGCTGAAATCCAGCAGGTCTTTCCAAAATTTAATCGCAGCATAAATCCAGTCAATCAATAATTCGAGCATTAATCGCTGTTCATTGGTGTACTTGATCACTGAATACATTCGATTGATGGATTTCATCAATGAATTCAGCGCTGAGTTTAGGAAACTGCCCACGTCCTTCCCCTTAACTAGTCCCTTTATGTCCATTTAATTTATTTGATAAAAGGGAACAAATAGTGAACGCGTTTCCTTGGAAACAGCATAGGTATAATGTTTTCTAAAGTATATTACAAAACTATGCTTTATTTCCTTTCTCTCTAGTTGAGTATTCCTGAATGCTGAGTTTTAACGTAATCCTATTGTCTATTTATTTTAGAAAATTGAATCTCCAAGTAATTTGATAAAGTGTCCCTTGTGAAATCGAAGTATTTTTTACTTAAAATTTTTTAACTATTCTTGACTAATTAGCTCATTTTTTTTATGAATAAATTAGTTTAACGCGCCAAATAAATGTTTGGAAGATGATTAACTTCAACAATACGTTATCTTGTCAATTTTGGTCTGATGCATGACTTCCCTAAGCATACAAAATAAGGGATGATACAAGATAAATGTTACTTTACAGTGATACTTATCCCTCAGTTTTAGTTTTTATTTCCTCCTGATAAACATACTTTTTATTGAAAATAATTACTAAATACTTAATTATTAAATATTTATTAATGAGACTTTTTCCAACGTATATCCGATAAGTCTATTATCTGGCTGGAGGGCTACTATGCAATTTTCAGATCATTCTATTAAAATTATCCATGCTCTTAAAATATCAAAGCAAAGCTATAAAATATGTTTTGTTTTTTCTAATGATTACCACATATCGCTACATATATTCGTATTTATCTTTCATCTTATATTTCTAATAAAATTACTTATTACTTATTTTTATGTTTTATTACAGCGCCACCTTCTTCCATAGAGATGGTTGGACATCCGTCTAATTCCAAGATCGAAATAAAGGAAAATCAGGAGTTTCAGCTAGAATGCTTGGTCAAAAATTCTAAGCCAGCTGCTAAAATCGTTTGGTTCAGGGGCAATGTTGAACTGAAGCTTGGTAAGTTGTTTCTTTCTCTTTTATTATTTTAGTTGAAGAAAAGTTATTTTATTCTTTCTTTTTACATCACTCTTCTTAGAAAAATTTAATCTTTGTATGTTTTACAATAATAATGTTGCATTTTGGGCAACGGTTTCATGATTTTGTTTCTAATAGCAATCTATACTAATTTAAAAAATTAAAAAAAAAAATGATTTATTCATTTGTTTTAAAACTTTACCTTAAAACATTATCAAGAAACTATCTATGTATTAAAGTTTCTTTTGAATATTTAAATAAAACATTTTCTTATATTTATGAAATAACAATATAAACATTACATAGTATATTTGTTAGGGGAAAATGATATATCTAAAATTTATTGAATATTGTTATATTCTCCTCCAGCATATTTCTTCATTGTAGCCCTTTATCCGTCTTTTGTTTGCGGTTTGCAATAACTAGAGAAGAAGAGAAATGCCAACTGCATTGGCCAGTGATAAATAAAAAACGGAATCACATACTTTTTCCCTCCCTTTTTCGTGTCCTGCTGTCGTTCTTTATAAATAAATAATTCCCGTTTCTATTAAACTGAATATTGTTAATAACAAATAGCATTTATTTATTTGATGAATTGGTTATTGTTTCTAAAATAAATAAATGAAAAGGCTTAACGAACCCGAAATTTCGATACCTGTACCACCAATTGCTGTCTACACACCTCCCTCCATCATGTTACCCAGCCCCGCCAGATCAGGCTTTATGTAATCTTCTCGCCTTCGCTTCGGTCTACTCCTCGGACGTTTATCAGTCAGCACAGCGCATATTAACCTTTTATGAATTCTTTCGTTTCCAAGCCCAAAAATTTTACACGCCCATTGTATTCGCTGCAATGTAATCACCTCAATTATATTAATTGAATACAGTTCACGCAATTTGGCGTTGTGTAATCGTCTGAATTTGTTAATTGTTGTTACCTTCGCTATATTACAGTGATTTTCAAACCTTGTTAAAATTAAATTGATCATATTCAATTAGTGTTGTCCAAATGGCAAGGACAGCCATAGTCTTGAAGTTACCTATTAGCTTATTGCTGTTTATTAAACATGTTACTTTAGATCTTACAAAAGCGGTATAGAATAGGTACATTTATTTATTTTATTGACATAAACATAGTAAAGTCCAACCAATTTAATAAAATTAACTTGACAGTACATTAAAGGCATTGCCAAAAAAGATAGTGACAGGCCTCCACCTTGGAATGGTAAGACAAAAAGAGAGTAAAGACAATCTGTACAATGTCACCAATCATAAAAAAAAAAAAAGCAGTGTTCACTCGCATGACTTTCTTACAGATTTTAATTTTTTTTTTCAATTTTAAATATGTTCATTAAAATCAGCACAATTTAATGACATTAATTTTCATGATAGCTGATCAGTAAGATGATCGGAGTACGATTTCTTTGATTGACTATAGCAATGTAAACGGGTACCAGCGGATCCAGGATTTAATTTTGGGGGATTCAGCCCGAAAGATTTTGTTTCATACATATAAAGATAATTACTTTGAAAAAAATAAAAATAAAAATACTACGACAAATGAACAATCATTAAAATCAGTAGGTAAAATTCTATTCACTGTAACGTTTCTAAAACTGGTCTGATTTAGACGATTTGTTTTATCGTTTTGTCGGAAATTTAATAACATTTTTAAAAATACATCCGAATGAAAAATTGGAAGAGTTAAATGCAAATGTATATTGGTTCTATCAGTTTTGTTTATCGTTAATAAATTTATCTAGTATTAGTAACTATTTTGCCTTAATTTTTATTCACAAAAACTTTTTTTTCACCCCTCTTGGTCTTAGTCTCGCAGCAATTAGACGGTCTTAGTCTTGGTCTTGCAAAGTACATTAGACCGATGTTGGACAACACTATCTTTTATACATGCATTCCATTCCATGCATATTAGGGCAAACATTATCCGAATCACGACTAAATCTTTAGTAAAAAAAAATTATTTTGACTAAAGACTAATGTTAAGCCATTAGTCGCGGCTATAAATTTAGTCATTGTATTTTTTTCGTCATGAACAACTATAATTTAGAATAAATAATAGTGTTAGAGGTGACTAAATTCCTAATACATATTTCTTCGGCACCAAGTTAAAGTAATAATGTGAATTTGTGCCCAGTCTAAACTTTCTGTTATGTTTTATGTTACTACAACATGTACATATGTGACAGAGCTATAAATTCGTAAAATTTACATAATGATTCTGGCCTTCCGATTGCCGTTCATATTTGACAGTTTCACACATTGTGGGCCCTTGCGAGGGGGGTTACTGTCGAATAAGAACGAAATTGAAAAATGTGATTTTTGTTTTTGATTTTATTACTGTTACTATAAATTGTTATTTTAGCATGGTGCCGCCGACATATGAACTCAATATTATACTAACATTCATGCTTATATTATAATCTTAGTCAATTTTACTAGTTTTGAATGAACTTTTATTCATGATTAAAAATTCCTCCTAACCTCTCAACTCTTTTCGCATGCAAGTTTCCTATCCAGTTAATATCCCAGATTGAGTATCGGGACGGGGTATAGGATAAAGTAGATTACACTAAGTTTGTTATCAATAGAGACCGGATTTTCGTGCAGCAAGCAAAAGCGTTCATCAAAAACGCAAAACCTGCAAACAAGATTTAATAAAGAGAAAACTTGATTAACTTAATAAATTTTATTACATAATTTATAAAAAAAAATACTATGAAACGAATAATTTTATTTTATATAAAGTATCTCTATATAGATAAATAATAATGATCTATGAGTTTAAAATATTTTGTGCTGTATTCGCATCAGAATTTTCTCCATTTAAAATATTAATGAATTTTTTTAATTTCTATGATTTTTCTTAAAATACTACTTTAAATTTTTCATAAAATAATCATCCTGTTTCCCTTTTTTTTTTTTTTTTTTCTAAGACCTTTTCTACCTTTTTAATAATATGGATCATCAGCCAGCACATTATATACCGCTCCATGGAGCAAGAAACAACTTTATTACTAGTTCGTAGAATACGTTGACGGTCTTTCAGAATTCTGTTTTACCGTTGTTATCTAGTTTATTAACAAGGATGAAAGTTTCACAGTTAGTTTAGTTCAGTTTTAGGTTTGTGGCTTCATTATTTATTCAATATTTCAGAAATCACAAATACATTTTTGATAAAATAATGATTTAAAAAAGAACAATTTTTTTTTTCAACTGAATTCTGAAGTGAACAAAAATACATTTTCGTGCCGAAAATGTTTAGGCTTGGTAAATTGTTATAATCATGACTAACTGAATTTCTTTCATCGTTTCACTGAATTTCAAACTGAGGGGAAATGACAATTGCTTGAAAATCCGGTCGTTTATTATCAGTTAATATTTAATGTAAAATAAAACGTGAAATTAATTTAGACCTTTATAGAAGACTGACATCAGCTATAATCATTATATTGTTCACGGGGCCCATATTTTTATTATCAATTTGTTTTTATTCCCTCCCCTGCTAAAGTATTAAATTTAATTTCTCTTCGGCCCTTAGGAAACATCTATAAACTCTTAACGGTTGAGGTTGACAATATCAAATTTGTTCGTATAGGGTGGAAATGTCTGGGAAATGTTCCACTTTCCCTTATTTCCCAAGGGAACTTTTTTATACGGACTATATTTCTGCATTTAAAAAAATAATTTATATTTTTTTTTCTTTTTTACCTTCGCCCAGCCCTCTTAACCATAATGATAGTGGTTTCGTTCTAATTTTGCTAAAATATTTTTCATAATATTTTCTATCTTATTTTGTATATAATTCTATTTTTAATTATATATCTATCCATTAATCTTGCATATTTATAGATTAATGCGGTTATGATAAGCAAGTATAATAAATTTCTATTGGTTTGGTGTGTTTAGTTGTAACAGCATCGGAACTGCAGAACTGCACCTGAATTACTTTTAAATTTATTCATTTAAAATATTTTTAATATATTTTATTTATTTGTAATTATCAAAATTACTTTACTTAATTTAAAGTTACTTATAAATATTAATCCAACAATATTCCTCACTCCTGTTTAATAAATTTAAAAATGTAAATTGTCTTCGCTACCGTAATCATTGAAATATGATATGAGGCTTCCCGAGATATAACTTGGCGTTCTTTTTTATTTAGAACAATGGAGTGGTTATGAATAGGTAATGGCATTACATGTGTTGACGGATTTTTCCTCATTTTCCGCTGAAAAAGAAAATGGTGTCATGTTTCGTAATTATCTCTCCTTTTTATTGGAGCTCTGTTAAAACACGAGAGGTTTTATCGAATACCCAGCTAATTTGTTTCCGTTTTTTTAGTGAATGCTTATATTCGATTACAATTAGATCTCTTCTTCGATCAAATATAATATATTAAGTTACGTTTATTATTAAAATTTGTCAATGTAATATTAGCCAACTTTTAATTAATTTCCACAATATTTAAATAATTATATGAGTTATTTTTGATTCGAAAATTTGTGCTTGGACGAATTAATTAAACTAGTTACGTTTATTTTTTAAATTATTCTTATTGTTTTTAGCAGAGTTTGAAATTGATAATTAATTTTTCCACGAAATCATGTAATAATTATTATATTTGATTTTTAATTTTTAAAACCATGCCTGATTTATAAATGAAAATTTAAATCGATCATTGATGTTTATTGTTTTAATTAAAAATGATGATCACTAAATTATAATGATTAAATTGTGATAGAAATCACATTTTACTCAAAAATTTAATTAAACATTAATATTTATGTTTACGTTATTAATGTACATATTTCAAAAATATTATATTTTAGAAATCAATTCAATTGTGCACCCAATACCTGCACAATATATATGTATATATTTCTTTTTTTTTTGGAACCCAAAATTTCTAATGAATTTTGGAAATAAATTTGTTCTATTGCTAATATTTGACAGCAATATCCTCTCTACCTACTACTCCAGACTCAAGATATATCATAAGATTTGAATAAATAAATATTTAAAATATGATTACCACAGGTAAATGCAAGAGATTCGCCAAAAAGAAAAAAATCGGTTGATCAAAATCTAAATGTCTGTTATACAAATTTAATAAAATTTTATTAACAAACATAAATAATAATAAATACACCGCACTAGTATGTCAATAATAACGAAACCAAAAATATGCGGAAACCTATAAAATCTAACTGCTTCTCAATCCTTTCAATTTCTTTCATACCCATCAGTATATTAATACAATTAAATTGTAGTTGTCTATAAATTATTATATCATTTGTTTGCCTTTGTTCTTCTTTTGTCAGTTATTTAATATTAGAAAATTATCTTCGAAATAATTGTCTGTAAAGCTGATTTTTTTTTTCAATAAATATTACGTCAAAACATTTGGGGGCTGCAGGTTCCCCTCTAATGACCTAGTATATTATTTCAGATTAATTTCTTTTAATGTTTTTTTTTTTTTACAAAAATTCGTTTTGTAATTAATTACTAAGTTAAGACATATAATTTAATTCATAAAGTGTTAATAAAGATCGACCTAAATTATTTTCGTTGCCTCATGACATCATTACTAACGAGAGAGAGAGAGAGAGTGAGAATGAGTATTGCACTTTAGCGAGGTATCGTAGAGATAAGTAAGCGCTCTTGGAGGTGTTTCATTTGGTCCCACTTAGGTTTCAAGCCATTTACTCTCTTGGAGAAAAGATACTGCGTTATTTAAATAATTTATTAACTCTGTAAATATTAATTGGTAAGGATGGAATGTAGGTCGCGTGTAATTAATAGGGCTTTACTCTTTGCAAGAATTTATTCTAATTGGGTCTTTAGTACTCTTAATTTTCTAATGTCCCGACCTATATTATGTTTAATTAATAAATTTGTGTACAATTCCATGATTTACGATGTGGTTTTTATCTTGGATTCTGAGGTTGTAACCTGTTCCTCTAAGTACTTATTCTTATTTGAAGTACTTGAATATTTTTGTTTTTTAGAGTTTAAGGGCGGCCTTCACCGCTCAATGTTTTCATAGTTTTATAATTTACTAAACAAAATAACTTAGAGAAAGGAAAAGAGAAAAATATTAACAAAGATATGACTTTTTTTTAAAGTAAAAGCAATAAAATAATAGAATTTTGATAACATATTGTTTCGATAATAATTTACAATTTAAATAAAATTTAACTACTGCTTTTATACAATAGTTTTCCCATCGCCATGTTACATTATTGATATATTTTATAGGATCCCTTACCCTTTCAAAAAAACAAAAAAATTAATAATATAGTTAGCTGTAAAGATGAAAACTTGTCAACTTGTCAAAATTATGCACTTTTTCTCTCTATTTCTAAATAGTAAGCAATTGGGGTTTATTCTTCCCCGACTAATAGTCCTGGAGCCCGTGGAAAAAAAGGTATCATATTTCATACTAAGGTTAGTCTTTATAAATTAACCATATCCACAGGCCTGATAAGAAAAATGTATGTCTGTCAGCATATAGCCGCTGGAATACAAAATGGCGGCTATGTGAAGGAAGATAGAGACCCAGCATAGGTTGTAAGCGTATATATAGAGAGGGCTTATAGATATATTAAGTTACCAATCCTTTCAATTTATAGTATTTGCAGTCTTAAGACATGAAATGAAACGTTATTACACAGCTCTTAATCTATACATAAGACAGTATATATATATATATATATATATATATATATATATATATATATATATATAATGTAAGCCAATGTATACACATGTATGTTGTCTTATATAATATACAGATTAAGAGCTGTGTAATATCGAAAATTGCGAAAAGTCAGTTTTTCTGTATAGTTTCGGAGTTTAAGCATTGTAACTTATAATTGCTCTAGTCTTTAAATGGTTGAAGATGAGATGCTAAAGTAATATATATTCTTAAAGAAAATTTAATACTAAACAACTTCTTCCTCATGACTTTTTTTTTTTTAATGAAAAGATAAAGAGTTGGCGAGTCAAATTATGATAAAAATACGAAGAAAAAAATTTTTTTTAGAGAATTACGCGGAAGGATATCACGAAACTATAAAATATACTGAAAACAACTAATATAATCATTTCTATTGAAAATTTTGTCAGCTTTAATTTAACATATGACATTATTATTGATAGGACGCATAGTTTCACTGATATAAGCGAAAAACTAAAAAAGTAAACTTTTTGAATCGTAAATTCAATTTTTCGACTTGATATCGACAGTATGGTGTAACTGACTATTGTTTCATTTCATAAAACTGTATATACTATCAATTGAAAGGATTGGTAGCTTTATATATCTATAAGCTCTCTCTCTCTCTCTCTCTATATATATATACGCTTAGAACCTATGTAGGGTCTCTATCATCACATGGCCACCATTTTGTATTCCAGCGGTTATATGCTGGCAGACGTGTATTATCTCATCAGACCTGTGGATATGATCAGAATGAAATATGACACATTTTTTTGCCACGAGCTTCAGGACTACAAGAATCGTCACAATTATTTAAGATGAATCTTCTACCATGACGCCAATAAATTATCCTTTTATTTATAACCGAGTTTCTGTTTCAGTTTTTTCTTGCTACAATCGCTCCCCTGACTCGTAGCCATATATATCATTATGCCGAGGGCCCATGATTCGGAAGCACAGGTCCTCCAATATATCAGGAGTATTGACCCGCCGGAGGAGGACAGATTTATGTTGTGACTGTCCTAGGCATTTAGGGACACTCGAATGTGAAATAATATATAGTGCCTTGTCCCCTTCCTTGTATTAGTATGTACTGGTCGGTACTATAAATATACCCCTTAATTTATAATGGAGGCTGTGGCTGAGTCGTCAATGGATCGCCATGTTTTTGATTCGCTTCTCTAGCCAATGAATCCGTATATTGGATTTATATTTTATTCGAAAATCACTGCGTTTTAAAACTCTTTCTCTAAATACCGTTCACATATCGGTGTTCCTATCACAGTTGAAAAGTAAGCATATTATGAAAAATTTTAAATATTTGTGTATTTGCAAGGTATCATTTATACTTTCATTTACCTATATACGTAATGGAAAGTATTGTGATCGTGAAAAACTTTGAATCCGAATTTTTAATAAAAATTTCTTGAGGTCTCGTGAGTTCAAATGACGAAGTTTCGCTAAATGGCCTTGTGAACAGCTTAGCTCAAAAACGAAAAATCGTACGAAACTGAAATTATTTAACGCAGGTGTATTATGCTGCTGTAAGGCTGAGATGTTGCAGCAACTTTTTCACTAAAATCTACCAATCGAAATGGCCAACTTATCATCGATTTATAATTCTTCCAGTTTTCCCGGCTCCGACGATTTCAATTAAACTCGTTTTATTAATTTACAATTACTTGGTTTCTAATATCATCGAGGCAACATTTTTTTAGGTTGAAAATGAATTTTTTGTTACAAGAGTCAATAAATATATACAGTGTCGGCCTCAGGGTGAGGCAACTGGGCAATGGTCTCGGGACGCCGACTTCGAGGGACGCCGGCTTATCTTCGGGGACGCTCGCCACTTATTAGAAATTTAAATAATTACAGATCGTATCAAAATAATCAAATTTAGCCTATTAATATAGGAACTGTTTTAGAGGAATATTGAATGAAATAAAATTCAAATATTACATAATATAAAATAGCTTAAGAATTACATTTAATTTTTTTAGGGGAAGGAGATGACGTCATTACCCGCGCCCCGAATGTCTAATGCCGGCACTGAATATATATGTATAATATATCGATAGGCTGCTGATCGTAAAAAAATAATATCTAATATTAAATGTCCATGAAGAGTCAATAAAAACACGGAAATGGAAAATATATAATTCCGTGGAAACTAATGGTATTTCCGTTGACATTAAATAAAAACTTTTAAAGTTTATGTTTTTTTAAAAAGTATTAGGCCAAAGGTCACCAATAATAAACTTTTTCTCTTTATGTATTTATTATTCAACATTTCGTTCTCTGGAGCAATTTTCAAGATTCATGCACCATTTTATAAACATTTTCAAAATACATTATTATAATATAATTCGTCAGTTGATCATTTCCTTATTTCATTGAATGCCGTTTTTATTTCTGCTTAGTATATTAGAAGGTATTAAATACATTGAATAATAAATACATAAAGTGAAAACTTTTATTATTGGTGACCTTTGGCCTAATGCTTCTTTAAAAAATGGTGCCGAACCTAAAAAATATTACAAGAAAATTTTAAAATTTATTTTTAATTTTAAAATTTTTTAAAATTTAAATTTATTTATTTTAAAATTTGTATGTAAAATTTATTTTAATCTTGACCAAAAAACTGATATAATGCACTGAATCGAACCAAATATTAATTAGAAACCCATTTCAGTTGTACTTTTGTGAGAGAAGTCATGCAGAAGTACAAGTTGCTAAAAATATTTCACCTTTGTTTATGAATGAATAAAACTAATTTTTATATACTTTAAGTTATTAAAAATCTCAATTTATTAGATTTATACATTAGATATATTACAATTAAATAGTATATTACAATGTATATGTATACATTATACAATAGCCCAGTGCCCCTTTTGTCATCTCTTCTCCTAGTTCCAGCTCTGAGGTTATCATTGCGGTAATAGCTAACTTTTATAAAGAGTATCTTACAAATCTCAATTGATTGTTCTAGTTAGCTTCTTATTGATACGTTTCAAATTCTGATTTATTATAATTCCTTTTTCTTTAAACTACCTAATTTTAATTTTTCATTAATTTAATCAGTTGTTAATGATTTTATTATATTTTTTAGATAAACGAGAGGATAAAGTAGTGATAGTAGATCCATCTAAGAAAGTTAAAAGATATGATGTTTCTAGTAAGATAACTTTACAACCTACTGCAGAAGATGACTTTGCTGATTATACTTGCGAAGCTAGGCATGAAGCTCTACATCCTGAAATGCCTTTGAGAGTCACTGTCCAGCTGAGTGTATTGTGTATGTTAAGAAACCAATTTTTTTCATTAATAACTTTATAATGTTTTCCAAAAAGTTAATTTAATATTGCATTAAATGTTAGAAAATGGTTTTACACATTATTACTGATTAATTTTGTAATTTGTACAGATCCGCCTGGACTTCCTTATATTGAAGGCTATACAGAAGGTGAAACGATTAGACGTGGACAAAATGTAGAGTTAGTTTGCAGGTCTCGCGGTGGTAACCCACCTGCCCAACTGATTTGGTACAAGAATAGTGAACAAATCAGAATGGCCTACAGAACTTCTGGCAGACTTTCTGAAAACATTTATTCTTTTACTGCAGATGCTAATGACAATAAAGCTAAATACCGATGTGAAGCTTCTAATATTATGAGTAAATCTCCTTTAAAAGCTGAGGTGGATCTAACTGTATTATGTGAGTAGCCTATATTATGATTAAAATAATATATGTTTTTTATAATATGCTATTTCATTTTTTGTTAATTATAATGAGGAAACTTTCCTCCATGCATATTTTGTTTGAAAATCAATATTTTACATTTTTTTTTTTTTAATTAGAGTTTTTCAAGACAAACTTTCCAAATTTTTATTGAATTGTACAAATAACTTTTTTTTTGTTCCTTTATAGTTGCTCCAACACAGGTCACAATATCTGGCCCCACAGAGGCAAGGGTGGGAGACACTGTGCCTTTGACTTGCACAACTGCCAGCAGTAACCCTCCTGCTGACATCAAATGGATGGTCAATGGTAGACAAGTCAGGAATGCTACACAACACACTATCCCAGCTCCGGAAGGAGGATGGTTCACCACGTCCAACACTACTGCCGTCATAGGTCCTAATCAGAAGTCACTAGTCGTCATCTGTCATGGGTTGAACAAGCAACTAACTGAAAATATTGTCAGCACTCATACCATCAACGTCCTATGTAATATTTGTTAATTTTATTAAAATGTTGTGTTTAAACTTATTTATATAAATTAGTTAACCTAAAATTCATGAGTTCAGATCCCCCTGGTCAGCCAATTCTTACTGGATATACAAAAGGGACACACATTGCAGCTGGAACTTTACAGAAAATATCATGTATTTCTTCTGGTGGAAATCCCCTGGCTACTCTGACTTGGTATAAAAATGATAAGAAGGTAAGTTTCTCCTATCCCTTTTTTTTTTTTTTTTTTTCATTCAATAAATGTATATTTAAATGTGATTTTTAATTTTTTTTTTCAGATTAATTCAGTCTCCAAAACCAACGATAGGTCTGTTTCTGCAGAAGTGACTATCCTTGCAAATGTGACTGATAATGAAGCTGTTTATAAATGTGAAGCTTCTAACCCAGCTACCGAGATTCCTTTAATTGAAAGAGTTCAACTAAGTGTGCATTGTAAGTATTTAAAATGGCCTCAATCTAGTTAGATGATAAAGGAAGAGAAATATGTAAAATTAGTTCCGACAACAGCGTTATAAATAAAAAATAATTTTACAGTCCCTCCAGAGCATGTGAAAATAAAAAAAGAGCCTGAAGAACTTCGAGCTGGTACTATAGCCACCCTCACCTGTGATGCAAGCTCTTCAAATCCTCCTTCTGAAATGTCTTGGTGGCGAGAAGGGATTTCCGTAACTGAGGGAATCACTAACTCGAGTAAACCTGGACTCCATGGTGGTACTGTGTCATCAATTCAGCTGAAATTGAACATAACTCCAGAAATTGATGGTGATGTGTACACCTGTCAAGCTGCAAATATTGTCTTACAAAGGAGTGTTCATGATGCAGTCACAATGTCTGTTTTATGTAAGTTACTTCAATTAAGGTTTATTATCTATTTAGTTAAGTTGCTGAATTCTTTTTTATGATAGAAAAAATTATTAATTAATTAGTATCTACTTTGATTATTAAAATTAATCATTGAACTCTACAAACAACATAATATAAGGGTAAAACATTGAAGGATTACCTGTCTTATCATTGATTGTAATTGTTTCATCGAATAACAATTATGCCTGGTTATTAATTCTCTGTGGTGCTAATCACTCTTAAATCTAGATCACTGTTGTGTTCTTGATCATTTAATTTTGTTTATTTCTTTAAAAGGCATGACTTTTGGAGATCCTTCCTCACCGCTGTTACTCCTTTATATTGTAGAAGGGTTTGTTTCTACTGAATATTGTTTGCTTGTTGTCTTAGTGTATGTCCTAATTCCTGAAAGATCATAATGTCAGGTGTTGGCAATGGTGGCTCAATCAGACTATCAGAAATTCAAATATATGGAACATATTTGGGTCACAGGTATTCATATTAAACTTCTAATGTTCAATTAAGATACCCAATTATATTATCTATGTTTGATTTTTTCATTATCGGATAGAGCTTCTATCACTAACACACGATTATGAAATGCTTTGATGCAGACTTATTTACATTCTATTTTCGTAAAAAAATATTGTGGGATCTAACTCTCTTTTCCTAAATAAAACTTTCCACCCACCACTTCTTCCCTATTTTTGTTTATTTATTTTTTTTTGCAAATTCGGATTACTGAAAATATCCTGTAGTTTCATTTTATGGTTATCTCATAAATGTACCTGTATACTCATAAATGTCTGCGATTTTTTAGATAAACCAGTATTCAGCGAAGTTGGTGAGACTGATGTAAGTGGAATAGAGGGAGAAAACCTTCTGTTGGGATCTCAAGCAGCTGGGCACCCCTCGGCACTCACCTACACCTGGACCAAAGACAGAGCTCCTCTATCTTCCAATAAAGACATCCATATCGAAGGACCTTTCATTAACTTCACTCGCTTACACAGGACATTCACTGGAGTCTATACTTGCGAAGCTGTCAACTCTGAAGGCTCTACTACTGTTACTTTCAATCTCACAGTTTTTTGTTAGTATCTCATGTCAATTATATACAATGAATTATATCAAAATCATTATCAAATATCATCATATCAAAAATAAGGCTACTATATCCGGCATAATGACAATATTTGATATTATTAATTTTATCTTTAATTCTAATCATTTATTGTGGATGAATTTAAATGCTTTGTTCTTTAAGCTTTAAAAGTATATTACATTGCATCGATCATTTAGAGCCTTTAATTTAAAATTCTTCTTTAATAATTTAATCTAAAAGTACCTAAACCATTTGGGGCTCAGGGCGGATTAGCGTTTGAGGTCCCCTTTAAAAATAAAATTAACTATTTAATTTTAAAAACATCTTTTTTTATCAAAAAAGTAATGTTTTGATTTTTTTTTTATAATAGACATTATCCTGAATTAGATAGTAATTTTTGTACATTCATATTATCAATAGTTATTTTCTAGAATATAAAAATTATATTCTTATAAATTAAAGAGCCCTAATATTGTTTCCTATTTTAGATGGCGGTAGCATTGTTGGTACGAGCCATGGTGTTTCAGTATCACCCAAGGAAGATGCTCAGCTTTGGTGTAGGTTTGACGGTTCTCCATTGTCACAGGAACACATTGCTTGGCACAGGGATGACTTTCCTGAAATGAGCCAAAGGACAACCATAACATGGCAAAATAATACTTCCTTTTTGACTATACGTGAAGCTAAGAAAGAAGATATTGGTCACTTTCAATGTACAATTAATAATGGTTATGGAAATGAGACTTCAAAGAATGTTTTTCTTATAGTAAAACGTGAGTTTTATTTGAATTTTAATAATTTAATTCAAGTTAGAAGGAAATAATTATAATATGTTTCCATTTTTAGATAAACCTGAAATGGATCTCTCCCCTAATTTACTGAAATCTGCTAGTAACAATGGTGAAACTGGAAGGCTAGTGTGCAGAGTGTCTGCTGCTCCAGCAGTAAATTTTACATGGTCTCGAGGAAGCTCCATTATTACCACAGATCATCATAAATATCTGATTGACTATAAGCAGGTATTAATGAAATCCTCTGAACTAGAAATTTTAATTTTAATTATAAGTTGCAACTTCATTATTATAAATATATTTTTTTTTAGATCGACGATGTACATTATGAGTCTATTGTACTTATTCGAAACATCGAGCAGTCAGATTATGGCAGATATGAATGTATCGCTCGTAACCATCTCGGATTTTCAACCAACACTGTTGTACTAGCATTAACGAATGCTCCAGACCCTCCTTCCAATCTTCAGGTGTATAATGTCAGTCATGATTCATTGACACTTGGTTGGGAACCAGGTTTTGATGGTGGTCTTCCAGCTTCTTACAGGCTGAGGTCTGTATTGTCATAAACTCAATTAAGATAGTTTTTGTTTTATCACTTTCTATTCAGAGCTAACTGTTCAACATAATTCCAGGTACAGGCCTGTTAACATTCCTGGAGCTACTTATAAGTATGAAGACACAGGAAATGTCACAAAGTACACAGTTACTGGTCTTGAATTAGGAACAGAGTATGTCTTCAGCATTCAAGCTTTGAACAGGCTAGGTTCCAGCAGATATCTCGCTGACACCTTAAAGGCAACAACTTCAAGTCAGTATCTTTGTGTTGTTTTTGTAATTAGTTTGGAATTTAGTGTTCTAAAATGCACAGTAATCAGTATGATACACATCTGCTTCATTTTCTATCTTGTTAGTATTTGATCAATTTAATCATGGTTTAAAATATAAATTTATAAAACCTAATGTATTGTTTGTATATATTTTTATCAAATCAGCATGTTTGTTTAAAAACCTCATAAATTTTGAACTTTTGGTAATTTTTTTAAAGTAAAATAATAGATCAGGAAATTAAGTAATTTATACTTTTAATATACTATTACTTTTTTTTAATTCTTTAGAATGAATTATTTCTAAATATTTAAGAAATTATGATTAGTATTTTAATAACTATAGGTACACTCGGTTGAGATTTACTAAATTAACACTTCATTTATTTACAAAGCACAATAAAATTGATATTTCTTTATGGAACTATTAATTATTGTGAAATTTTCAGAACAAATTAGACTATATCAAAATAACTATTTTTAAAACTTTATTTTTAAAAGAATAGTCTCTGTTTTCCTAATAAAAATAAATTTGTATGGTAATTACTATCCGTTATTAAGAAAACACAAATCTGTATCTTGAAAGACTAAAAATGTTTTTTTACGATCTCAAAAGTTCAGATTTATGAGTTTTTGGACTTTGTGATTACTGAAATTTATATTAAATATGTAGATACCCTGTAGTCACTTGGTGTACATTATGGCACTTTAAATTTCTTATTTATTTAATTATTGAAAAGTTTTGATTTAAACAATTTTTGAATATCACAAAAAATTAAATTCATTACAAATTACCTGATTACTCTCTATTCTATATGTGAAAGAATTTTTTTTTTTTTTTTTGTTTAATTACTTAAATACACTCAATGTCAACAATATTAAGTTCTTTTTTATATATTGTTCACATTGAACTTAAAGTTTATATTTGAGATCAGAGTTGGGCAAATTTTATTTACATTAATTAATGATAAGATATTTTTCATCTTAGGACTTTAATTTAATTAAACATTTTATTCTTGAATAATTTTTTAGTAAAAATTGTGAATAAATTTTCTATTTGTTACTCTCTAACAAAATAAAACCTCATTTATTTTCTCTTTCTAATTTAATAAAATATTTAAACAATGTGTGAGAGCAACAAACTTACTAGCACCTTAGTAAAAAAAATGAGTAATATATAACATTTTATTAGTAATTCAGCATTAAAAAAAATTTAGTTAATAAATTTAATCTATAAGTTGGGGAATAATAAACATTTTAATTATTAAATTAAATATTAAATAACTAAGAGTTAATAGATAATTGACTGTTCAAGTTATAAAATGGATTATATATAGTCAGGAATACGTTGTTAGTCATACTTATTTAATTATCTTATTTATATTTTCATGACTGTTAAATAATAATGTGTAGAAAGTAAGAAACAACGCCCTTTTTAAACATAATAATATTTATTTTCTAAGATTCTTGAGATTTAGTCAATAAATATCCAACTATATTTTGATGTCATTTCAAGAGTTTATTGTTTCCGTGTTTATGCTACAATTAATAGATTTATGAATACTCTTAAACAATTGAGATATTATATTATAACTAAATTAAATACTTGCTAATTTCTCCTCTAATTAAAAAAAACTAGAGATTAAATTATACTTAAAATTAGTTAGGACGCTAACACCACTAAACAACAACTATATTATGGAACCAACAACAAAATATACTATTTTCTACATACCAAGACTTTCTGTAGGTTTGAAAAAATATTGACCACTTTTATTTATTTATTTTTATGTTCACCTGTTCCTTGCCTTTTAGGCTATACGGGGTTTTTCCTGGCCGGACGATGAGGGCGGGTGATTAATGCCAGAGTTAAAAAATTAGGCACTGGGACGCGAAATTGTAATTGTTTTATCATTAAACTTTGATTTATCTGGTTGCCAGGCAATACAAGTTTTACACACGCGTTAGCCCGCTCGGCCACCCCACCTCTCAAATATTTACCACTTGCTTAATTTATCACAAACTTATTACTAACTATGAATTATACACAGTCTCCTTGATTTTTTTTTTCTCCCACACAGTAACACTCTGTAAGAGCCATTGATTTACACCAATATATTATTAAAGTTAAAAAGATGTAGTTCTGCATAAGTTTTAAGGTACCATTTATTTAGTGTTAATTGAAGAGATTCATAATTTTCAACAACTATAAGTACAATTAAGTCTCTAGTTTTTTTGTACTTAATTTATTTATAATATAATATCTCAGTTGTTAAATTCTATTCTAATTGTTAATCATTATTATGGTTAAAATTATTTTGGAAAATATTGTCTATGAACCTATTTCTTTTCACTGTAAGGTATGAATGGAATATCACCAAATCATAGTTATATATTTATTGAATGAACCTTAAGATCCTAAGAAACTATATATAAGTTGGCCCGGCCCCGGCATGTATTTGTTGAAATGTCAGCTTGTCTAAAAATAAATTACAGTTTGATTTTCGATTAGCCGTTAAAAGTAAATAGAATAGTGAATAAATGAATACACTAATTTTACTTTATTCTATTAATGCCCAATTCTGTTTGAAATATATTTATAGAAAAATATATCTTTACACTGCATTTTCATGCACAGTAGATCTTTTTTTTCCCCCTATATTGAACTTAGTCCCACTTGTAAAGCACAGCTTGTTAAATTTTTATTTTGTATATATTTGTTAACTTTGGTGATTATGTTAAAAATTATATATGAGTTGTTACCAGCTAATCTACAAGCTTCTTTCTAGACCTTTTCTAAGGTCTAGTCAGTTTGAAATGAAATAAAGTGATAATTTTAATCAGTAACTTTATTGTTTGGAAGTTAATATGTAATAGAGTAGTTGGGTAAATTCTTGCTTTGATACTTACATAGCGTTGAAACATTAATATTTTTTTAACTTATTTTATACAATGACCTTATTTTAATATTTCTTTCTTTATACCAAACAACTTTTTTAATGTGACAAAATGTCAAATAAATGTCACTATATATGTTTTATCATATAAAAAGAAAATGTTTTCAATATGTAAAAATGACAAACAATTTCTTTATATTTATCTATTACACTAAATGATTAAAATAAGGTATATTATAAAATAATACACTAATAACTTTCACATGAAACTCTTTCAGTATTTTTTGTTTCAACATGACTTGCTAAATGGAATTAAATATTCATTTATGTATTGCTGGATATATTCATTGATTTATCGTTTTAATTTCACTTGAGGGCTGAAAGCAAATCAATTGATTTCCTAAAGTTTTAGAATTTTTAGACATTTTTTTTATTTATTGAACTCAATGAATTTATCTGGTATATCATTAGTCAGTATATTTAATGTTTTTACTGTGTTTTTTTTTATTGTGTATTCCTAATTGCAAAATATTTTATCCATAGTCCCTTATATCTGCACCTATGCACCATCCTCAATCATCCTGCATGCCAACTTTATTCATGGTGTCATATGGATTCTATTGCATGATTTGGTGACTGCATGTATTTTTAGTGTTTTTTTTTTTATTTTATAATATCATGTGATGATAGTTTTAATTAATATAAGTGTTCAATATTTCAATTTTATATTTAACAAAATTAGAATTTCAACTTAAATAATCTATATTAATAGAGTATTACTTAATACCTTAACATCTAATATTAAAGAAATTATTTATGTTTATGCAAGTCAAATTATTAATGTTTAACAAGTCTTTGTGTGTTAACAATATTCTACCATCTCTTTAAGAAATAAATTCTTTATAGAAAACTATTATGACCCAGGCTATCAAATAAAAAAAGATGTTACATAAGTGTTTTTAATAATTTAACATTTACGTCCGTTGTATGGAACAGGGAACAAAAAATTTTAAATACCACATATTGTCTGAGCTGATACTCTATGATAACGTTTAAATGTTTTTTTAATTTCATTTCATTGCTTAAATCAATTATCTTTGATGTTTTCCACCAATAATTAAATTTTCTGAAGATATAACTTTTATATAGGTACTGTACTTTTAAAATAAAAGTATTTATTTTTGATTAATTAAACTGAAATTCATTGTTCTTTTTTTAAAACAAAGCAAAATAAAATAAATTAAGGCACACTATAATATTCTGAACAATTAATGGCATATTGTAAAACAAAATAAAAGCTCTTGTTAATAAATGTCTTGTTTTATACCAGAACATCTTTCGTCCTGGTGCTTATTTGTTTTCTGTTAGCAGATTTCCAAAATATAATTTTTATTTTTTAAAAATTGAATTCTGGTTGATAAATTTGATAAAAAGAAAATTTTATGATTTATCAGATAAAAAATGAATTATCTACATTAGAAAGCTTATTACATGTATGTATCATTACGTACACTATATATTCTGAATTTTTTATGAGAGATGGTAGAATATAAAGTCTAAATGTGACTAACATTGTCTGGTGTCGGCGCTGACCAGGTGTGGCTCCCCCATCTCTACCAAGTCGTGGGGGAGGATCGACAAGGAGTACTTCTGGCTTCATTCTCATCCTTTGCTTTATCCTCGGTGTTGTCCTCTTACTTCTGAACCTACTCCTAGTGGGCTGTTGCCTCCGAAGGAGGAAGGCCCGCCTTGCTGCTGCCAAGAGAGTCACAGGTGAGTGCAGATTTATTAAACAAGCATTTTTGTATGAATATTTCAGAATTGCCTGACCCTCAGTTTGATGCTGCTGATATACCTCTCATCATAATAATGGCTGTTGTATCGACAGCAGCCACTCTCCTTATCATCAATATCATTGTAATTGCTTTCTTTTACTACAGAAAGAGGCGACATAGAGATCAAGTTCATCATGAAGGTAAACATTTAGACAAATATGTGCCATCTGTTTTGATATTGTTCGTTTATTGCAGTTTTCTGTACCATATTTTTCCAAAAAAAAAAAGCCATATTTTCTGTGATTTTCTTAAATTTGAGGCTGTAAAATGAGGTTCAATGTTGACTTGTATTCATGATCAATCTATGAAAATTTGAATTTGACTAAACTTAGGGTTTTAAAGTCACTTCATAGTATTTAGAGATTTATGTAATGAGAGACTTAATACAGTTTATATTAGTAATAAGTGATCATTCCCTTACTTATTACCACACATTAGGGTAGAGAAAAAATGTAATAAAAAAAAATTTGAAATGGAATTAAGAATGATAAATACATTCAACATACATACAAATAATATGTTTAAACTGAGAGTTGAGAATAAGAATGGAGGTCGCAGAAAACAGAAGAATAGATGACATAAATGGTACTTTCAATTAAGATTTGAGAATACTTACCTAATTAGGTAAATTAAAGCAAAAATAAAAAAATATAGAGGGAATTGAGCTTGTCATAACTTGTAAAAATAACCAAACTATAAATTTTTCTTTTCGTAGTGCTGTGTAGTGAGTGTCAAGCGTTTTTTTCCTTTTTATTTACTATCCACTCTATCACTTTGGAACATATCCAAATCTACTGACAAATCGTAATGTGTTCAAAGATTTTTGTTTAAATTTAGTCTTTCTTATTCTCTCTTGTGTCAAAAATATTTGAAAGGATTGTTGAGAGGGACTTAAAAAGATTTATGGAAGATAATGAAATATTCCCTCCATTCCAGTCAGGGTTTAGATAAGGGCAAAGTACATGCACTGTACTCCATACAATTCTGACTGAAGTGCGTAGAGTGATGGACAAATGAATGGTTACAGTATTTGTATCACTGGATCTCACTAGAACGTTTGACTGCAAACCATGAAATGTTGCTAAGAAAATTCGTAGGCTTTGGGGTAGGCAAGCAATTATTACAATGGTGAAGATCATATTTGATCGGACGGACCCAGCAAGTGAGAGCATATATTGCTCGAGGTGGCTGGAGTGCAGCTCAGGTGTTCCACAGGGTTCCATTCTTCTGTCAATGTTGTTCCTTCGGTACATTTTTTTTTTTTTTTTTTTTTTGCTCCGACATAGGGGGGATGCACTGCGGCCAAAGGCCTATTTTGTGTCGTCCTAAACTCAGTTAAAACAGGCCAAATGGCTTCGCGAACCTATTGATACTGATGGGATCAAGTAGTTCACAGTGCTTGGGGTCAGTGATACGATCACATCTGAAGTGAAAGTATTGCAGTCTCGCCAAATTATCACATTTGCAAATAATGTGATAGACCGTTTCATTCCCCAGGCCACATAGCCTGCAGGTGGAGGTTTCACTTACACCCAAATTGAAAAGGTGCTTATTTAATTGACAGTGACCAGTATACAGAAACAATATGTCCATTAGAAGAAACAAATTTCTTCTTTTATGACAGGGCCCTACAGGGAATAATTTATAATGGATCTGTTTCCTAGTCTGTACCCAGTGTAGCATAAATTTATTTCCCACAATTGTCTTAAGATATCTTTTGGCAAAGCCAAGGCTTATCCCACAAATAGGCTCTGCTGCAAAGGGCACCTGTGCAGAGCCTTTCCTAGCAAGGTAATCGGCTTTCTCATTTCCTGGAATTCCTAAGTCCCCAGGTACCCATTCTACTCTCACCTTGTTAGTACTACAAAGAAGATTAAGATTGCCTTAGCATTCATCCACCAACTTTGAGCGACTTGCATAACTATTCAGGGCCCCAATCGCCGCTTGACTATCCGTATCTATTGTTATCAATCTATTCACAATGTACTCCTTAATAAGTGATTGGGCACAGAAATCGATGGCTAAAATCTCGGCTTGAAAGACGGACGTTTATCTACCTAGAGATATGAATATTTCCTCGTTAGGTTTATCCTTTCTCCAGATACCAGCCCTTGATCCCTGCTCCATTAAGGAGCCATCAGTATAACAGTTAATTCCATTACATGGATGGTCGATGCGAGTTAATCCTGCTTATATTCAGATTATATAATATGTCTCTATAATTATCAACTTGAAAGTCAGAGCACATTGCAAATACCTTATTACTATCAATCCTATCAAAAACAATCCCATGGCACTGAAACGTCAGGAATTTTGATCTCGTTCCCAGTTCATCCATCCTATAGGCAGTTCTAAGAGCATATGCTTCCACCTCTAAATGCAATGGTATCAGATTTAAAAGAACCTCCATTGCAGTAGTGGGAGTAGTACTCATAGCTCCCGTAGTCATTAGGCATGCAAGCCTTTAAAGCTTGCCAAGCAACACTCTAGGCCTGCCAGCAGCTGCCCTATGCCACCACATCACAGTTGCATAGAGAATTATAGATCTAATCGCAGTTCTGTATTTCTATAAGGCCATGCTAGCTATCAGGCCATGCTGGGTTTGAGCCCCTAGGATTTGCCAACAACTCTTTTACACGCCCATAGACAGCGTATAGCCTTATCACTAATCTTTTCAATATATTTATTAGCCAATTGAACTTACTTGAGAAGTTAAAATATTCTATCTGAAAACTTACCCCCAATCAATATCGCAATATCATCAACATATCCCTGAGAGTAGAACCCCGCCTCATTCAACTTAGCAATCAGAGAGTCGACAACCAGACATCACAAAAGCGGAGACAGCACACCCTCCTGTGAACACCCTCCAATAGGTTTAAACCACAGTACAGATAATCCCAACTCAGATTTAAGGACTCTTCCCCTCAGAACCGAATTAATCCATTCCAAAGCCACGTGTCCAATCCCTCTACTTTCCAATGCCCTAGTCATTATATCATATGGGGTACGATCAAAGGCACCTTCAATATCATCGAAGATACCTGCCATTATCTCTTTTTGCAATAAGCTTTTCTCTATTCTAGAGACTAAAAAGTGCAACGCTGTCTCCCAACATTTGCTGACTGGATAGGCAAATTTGGCACAGTGTAGCGGTCTTTCTACTAGTGTAGTATCCCTAATGTGTCTATCTACAATCTTTTCCAACACCTTCAACAGAAAATAGGTCAGACATATAGGTCTATATGCTTTGGGATTGTCATAAGATTCTTTTCCAGGCTTAGGTATATAACAGACTCTTGCTTCCCTCCACTTATTAGACATATATGCAAGTGCTAAACTCCCCCTAAATAACTCCAAGAGATATAGTTTAATTACAGATAAGCCCTTTTGTAACAGGGCTGGGAAAATCCCATCAAAACCCTCTGATTTGAAGAATTATGTGTCTTACCACCCCTTTCAACCCTCCTATAATTCACAATTCTTTTGGCTTCAACCCACTTATCTTTGCCACAGATGTGCCTAGTCATAGCGGGATTAAATATATACTCTTCTAGCATTTGACAGCCAGGAAAATAAGGACACGCCAGAGCCTCTAGAGTATCATCTCCGGAGTAGGTATTTCCTCCTTCAACCCTGAACGTGCCAATGACCAATCAATCTGTTTTTGTTTTGTTTTTTACAGGATTTTATGGACTCTGGACATGGATGACATGTCATTAATATCACTATAAAAGTTTCTCCATGTCCCCCTTTTTGCCTTATGTACAGTCTTATTGTATTCAGTTAGGGCATGTTTATAAGTATCCCATCTGCCTGTGTTCTTGGCGGCATTTAAGAGTTTTCTAGTTATGGCTCTTAACTTGCCAAGTTCATAGTTCCACCAGGAAACATTTCTGATGGATCTGACACTATTATTCTCAGTCTAAGACCTCATAATTCCCTCATGTAATGAGGAGTTGAGGCATTCCAAATTTCAGATATTCCTAAAAGGTTCTCAAAGAATCCATTCAGACAGAAATACATGTCTTTCTGTCAGTTAAGAGATTACTTTCTTTACCATAAATATTGAATGTTACCCATTTTTTTCCTATAAGAACAATAATAAACTCTTAATTACTTAAATGTTTATGGAGGGTTTCTTCATATCATTTTTGTTGAATCTCATTATGCGCATTGCATATAATAACATATTCATAGAATTTATCAACAAATTTTTCTCAAGTCCATCTATTCTCCTTCCCAACTTCCCCCTATAAATAAGAAACGGTGTAAGACATCAGTGCTTTTTAACATTGGTGTTCTAATATATGGGGAGTGGGGTAGCTCAGTGGTAGGGCACTGAGCTTCCAATGCAAAGGTCCCAGGTTCAAACCCCGGCTCATGGCAGAAAATTTATTTATCTGTTTCATTGGCCGTGGGGCGACCCTGGGTCGGAAGACCCTCCTGGGGCACACCCAGCCTCTATAAAGTGGGTACCCTTAATTAAATAATTAATTAAGGGGGGAAACCTGGCGGTTGAGCATGATCTCGGTCAAATCACCTCCTTGCACAACCGTTGACCTAGAAACAGTGCTTTCCCTAAATAGTACTGAACCCCAGACCCTTTATGGGTTGTAGTGGTACAGGTTCTAATATATGGATCATACTAAATTTTGCTTTGACTTTTAGTGATTTTCATTATTCAGTCTTTGTTAAAGTCAGTCTATGAATTTTTTTTTTAACAAAAGATTTTGAAAAGGAGGTGGCAGAGAATTTTATATAAAACCTGGAGAAGTCTGGGAATCCAACTGAAAAACTCTTATAGACTTCATAAATACCCTGTTAATTTAAATAAATGGTCAGGACATGATGGCTGAGAGTGTTAAAGCATCACCTTAACACCCTCAAGTCTAGCAGCACGAGTTCGAATCCAGTCTGGTCGGGGTGAAATTTATTTTGTGATGAACCTTTACCACTTTGGTTAGAATAGATTGGTTATATTTAGGATAATTAATCTGTACGCCTTAAATATTCAGGTAGGGAGAAAGAGAAAAAAAATGGACTTGTATTATATTTTAGAAAGAAAATTTATGTATCTCCAGCTCTCTCAAATTCATTTTATTTTGCTCTTTTCCTTTTATGATGAATTAAAAGTCATATTATTCATATTTTTTTACATATATGTCATATTAGGCTTGGTTACAATTCAAAATTGGATTTTAGGTAGCAGTGATCAAGGTAGTAACAAGAACCCACCAATGGAAATGTATGCTCCAAGTAGTTATAATGAAACAGTAACTGGGGAAACTTTGAGCTCAGTTTCTGAGAAAAGTGAGAGTTATTCAGATCAGCAAGACTACAATGTGAGTGAGGCAGCCTTACCTTATATATATGTAAATGTTTATTATCATTTTTTAAACTTATCTCTTTATTTGTTTTTATTAATCTTCTAATTTAAATTTATTTTATTTTCTTAGGATGACGCTAGAAAACCTGCTGCCAGCACCTATCTGATAGATCAAAGTGATTACCCATTCCAATACACTGGGTATGATATTCAGCCACAGATCAAAGATGTTGAGCCTATTGCACTGCATAGGACACCATACAATAATCAAAATGGAGGTAATTATTGTATTCAGATTTTATTTACGTTGGTTATTTAGTTTATGTTTAATGGGTTGAGTTCCATTAAATTGACTTCAAAGTTTTCTGAAACTGGTTCAAAGAAGAAAGACAATGAAATGAGCAGTTGACTTTCAATAGGCTTCTCATACTACATAGCCATTTTTGAGAAATCTTGTAATATTTATTAATCCACCTTCTGTGTTAATATTAAGTTTTCTCATGAACATGAATTATTTTAATAAAATAAAATATATTTGTGTTTCAGGATTAGGAGTGCCCCCTATGGACAATTACTACACAGTAAGCCCAGATCCTAGGTACGTTGCCTACCCACCACCTCTGCAGTTCGCTCAGCCTCCTCTGCCAGTGCCTGCCAACACCAGGCAGGTACCACCAGATGTTACCGTCCTCTCTGCTCCTCCGCTTCTGTCCACCTTCAACTACAGCCCAGCATCACACCTGGTAGAACCAGATTCTCACCTCGTGTGACTCTAACTCCCCAGGCAGGTCTTTCAGGCATATAGATCTACCCCGGTCTGAAGTCGACCCCTGCCTCTAAATTGCCACTCTACTGAGGCGTTCTGAACGTCTCTGTAGAAAGAGAAAGAGAACTAGGATTATAAAGGATTGGGAGTGACCTGTAAAGCTGTTCTAGACTTTCTGGGGTCGTCGAGAGCCTAGTCGTTATGTGAATTCGTACCAAAGTGTGTACATAGTGGTTCAGTGATTGTATATTGTAAAAATAAACATTCGAGTATGTTTTAAATCAGCTCAACTTCAATTTTATTAGTGTTAAGTGAATATCTGATATTTATTCGATCGGCGTATTTAAATGTTACATGTGGAAAATAATATACAGGGAGCCCCTTGATGTGCCAAAGATTATGTATATTTTTTGTTTTGTTTGTTTTCTTATTACTACATAATAAAATAATTAATTCAGTGCCAAAATAATGGCACTTGGACCAAATTTCTGAGTAGATTTCTTGGGGATTTCTGTATATTTTTATTAGAAAAGGAAATTAAATGTAATAACATCAAATGTAAAGATAAAAAAAAAAAATAAAAAAAAAATAACTGTTAAAAATACTCATCATGTGATTAATGTTCATTGTAAATGTTTTTGATCTCATTATGTTTTTTATCTTAAAGTATGTTTGTATATAAATTAATTCGTCCGTGTTAACGAAAATTTAGAAAACATAATTGTTACTCTGGCTATCTGTTTATCAGTGTATAAAAATTCCATTAAAAAAAAAATAAGATGACGAATTTGTATAGTTGTAATGATCGTGGATTTGTTCCACTTTTAAATGTCAATAGATATAAATGACCTTTGATGATATGTATTTATGTAAATATTCTTGTATTATGGGAAGCTGGAATTGTTTCACTGGGACGGCCTATAGAAGTTATCGCTTTTATTTTTGACAGCTCTTGTGAATAATGTTTTAACTTAAGTTTTCAAGCCTATTCTCAGAGGCATAATAATAGTTTAGCTCAAAAGAAATTTAAATTTGGGTATATAAAAAGATTGTCCTTTTCTTATATACTTACAGACTATAGAAGTGTCGAAGGCTGTATTTAGTCTTAAAAGATTTGATGTCTGATTTATGAAGGTTCAAATTAATGTTGTTTGAATATTTTGTTAAATGAGCATTCTAGTTAATATGGTTTTTAAATGTTGTACATAATGATAGAATATAAATCATAGAAATCCTTTATGTTTTGTTTGACAATTGTGCTTCACAAAAATAAATCAATATATTTTTCTAAAAATATATTTAATAAATGGTTAAACTATTTGTAAATAATAATAGATTTGTATCTATGTTCATCCTTGATAAGAATTATACAAAATTGTGTTATTAAGCGGTGGAACAGTTCTTTATTTCTGGTTTATGATTGAGGCCTTTTTATACTTTTGTAAAATACACCTTTGATTCATTACTTTCTTTGGTGATTGTATTATTGATTAAAGTTCCACTGTTGCTGTAATTTTTTAAGTATTTTAAAGAATAATTATGACAATTATAGAAAGTGTAAGTCTCCTGATAATGCATGATGGAAGTAAATATATTTAAAAAATAAATGTAACATAGCTGTACCCTGTAGAATATTGTAATATAATCCTATATTTTAAGCCAAAATGTGACTTTTAATACATTCGTATATATATATTGTTTTAAGATGTTTACATTGTTGATATTTTCAAAAAAAAAAGAAAAAAAAAGGGAGCTTTATCCTGTATACTAAAACAATTTAAAGTAACTAATTAATAATTATGTGGCTAAATAGATGAATATACTTCAATTTTTAATCAGAAATAAATCTCCTTTTAAGGTTGTATGTTGTTTATGCAGGGTGACATTTACATGGCATCTATTTTATTCTATCTCTCTTTTGGTAGAATTTACCTTCTTTTTTTTTTATTTGTATTTTTCTCTTATGTGATTGTATATTAGCCATTTGTACAGATTAGGTTTTACAAATACATACAATCTTAAAATGTTAGTATTTAAAAAAAAAAGTATGTACTGATAAAAGTTACTGAAATATTACAATAAGTGACATTATGTTTGTAAAATTTATGCTAAATGTTTACTACATCGGTATGTGCTATAACCTGAAATTTTTAATTTTTTATTCCTTTAAATGTTTCCCTCCCGACCGACATCAAATGCATATAATAGTAGTTGATTACATGTTCAGATTGTAATAATTTCCTTGAATGCTTTAATAAAGTGTTTCAAATCTACTTTTTTTTTTTTTTTTTCTAAAAACCTTTGATAATCTGTTGAACAAGATTGCAAACTGTTTTAATATTAAGTTCTTAATGAATGATCTCTCAGTGCAACGAAAATTTCTGGAGATATTTTTCATTTTTTTTTTTTTTGTTTTTCCTGTTTCCAAGATTCTATGAATATGGACTTGAGACTCCTAAAGTCTCATTAAAAAGTTATTAGACAAGATGGGATTGCAAATGAAGTTCTGAATTGTTTATGGATATAATAAATACTTAAAAAGGTTTCATAATAAAGTTTTGATGAAAAGATAAAGAGAGATTTTATTGCTTGTAATTTATTAGTGCTTTAAACTTAGCATAGTTCAGAAACTAAAAGTAGGACATAAAAGCAGTTAAAAAAATTCCTCAATTTTCGTACATCAACATTAACCTTAAATGATCAATGGTTTATGATAAAAAAAATTAGAATCCACTATTGTATCATATTTATCAAAACTTCATTATGAAACCTTTTTAAGTATTTATTACATCCATACATCTGATGGTGAAAAGAGTAGTTGTACCTGTATTTTATTTCAAAACAGTATTTTTTTTTTTTTTTTTTTTTGTTTACACAGGAGTATAAAATCTCCTTAGGGAAGACACACCTGAGGAGGAGAAAGAAGAGAGCATGAGAAAGCAAGGCACTCGGTGACATAGAGATGGCCTTTAATGATAAAAAAAAGCCTTCAGTTCTTCCAGCTTGTTAATAAGGGAAGGATGAAATAAAAACTCAGATTGGAACGAAATGTACTTATGGAACCTAAAGCATTCATATTCTGATGCAACGAAATTCCAAAAAGATGGTTTCGGGAAAAACTTTCCAGTCAGAACCATTCTGAACTGTTCCAGAGGCAAAATTCAAGGACACTCGAAGAGAAAAACTGATCCATTTAGGACTTATCAGAACCGTTCCAGAGGTGGAATGGTTTCCTATAACCGGTTCAAGGCATTTTAATTAGGACTAAAAAGAATGGCTGTTCTGTTTCCTCTTTGTTCTGCCATTAGAATGTGATTTATAAATAAAATAATAATGAAAAATTCAATTTAAATAAATGTATTTTAACTTATAATTTTTTTTTTAATTCATTGATATTTGATAACTCTGATAATTATTTTATCTGAATCTTGGCATATTAATTAATATTTTTAAAATTTATAAATTGCTATCTTAAAATCATGACTGGGATCTTATTACATTTTAATTTAATTAGATTTCTTTATATTTGATCAAACACTAAATTAAGTTCAGTTTTGAAGCAAACAAACAATTCAATCATTCCATTAATCCTCATTTCGGCAACAATCTGCTATAGCGCACTCACCTTAATTGCTATAAATCCATTTTGTACCTATTTGACTTTGCTGCCGAACATTTATCCATCGAAACCTAAAGACGTGTACGTACCCTTCCAATGGTGGAATTCGTTCACCGAACTGTTCCGCCTGAAACATTCCATCCCTGTTATCACTTTCTAAGGTATGCATAACTTAGTATGCATAATAAGTTAGTTCCCATCATTTTTTGAGCAACTGTTTCTGGATGAAGATCCTGTTAATATTTAACAGGATATTGGTCATCATCTAATAGGCAGCAGGAAGGAGTTCTGTACCTCTTTAATTACCATATTAATAGATATAACCGTTAGGATAGGATAGATTAAGCCTTCTTTTATCTTTTCCTCCTCTATATTTTGTATGTATTTTTTTAAAGGAAGAGAATGAGTTCATAAAAACCTTGAATAGGGAAGTGGGGTGGTCGAGTGAGCTAACACGTGTGTTAAGACACACCTTAGCTGGTAACTTGATGAAACAAAGATTTTAATAAATTTTAATTCAACAAGTTTGAATCTGCTACTGGGGGTATTCTAACTCTGAGACTAATCCCTTGCCCTTTCTCCTGGCCGGGGGGAAAACCCCGTATAGCCAAGAAGGTGAGGAAGGGAAAAAAACTAAAAAAAAAAAAACTTGAATAGTATAATACTAAAAAAAAAAAAAAAGTGGTTCATTAGTTGGTTAGAACTTTTTTCAGTGTGTCTAAACATTACATATTACTGTTGTAGTTATTCACTGTAGATTGTTTTATTTTATAGTCTTGTTATTTTATTTTATCTCTACTGAATTTAATATCAGTTTCTTTATTAAAATTCTTACTTTTTATATTTTAATATTAATGTAGTCTAGTTTCTTTTATGGTTTAGTACTATAAATAAATTTTGAGTTATAATCAGTATAATGGTTTGACTATATCTCAGTTCATTGATCGAATAATTAAATTTATACATAAATTATTTAGTATTGAAAATTAATATTAACTGATTGAAAAAGTTTATTTATGTGAAAAGAAAAGTTACTAAACATTTATTCCTTGCATTTTGCAGAAAATTCTGTTTAATTTAGAGGTTTAGTGATCTATACAATGTCCATTCCCACCGAGTATTTTAATTAATGCAACTCTACTGTATTTTTTTATTCAAACTTGTCAACAGCATCTTCTGCAGGAACTTCATTTACTAAAACTTAGAGGGAAAAGGGGAAATTATCCCAGGCAAAAAAATTGAGAGGGTGTTAAATTTGCAACATTTTTTTTTAGCTTAAGTAAAATATACATTTAAAATTTATTCTTCATAGGCGACTTTATTTTGAGTAAAAATCTCTAGTATAAAGCTATCCACTTACAAACATGGGTCTCCCCAGATGGCAAAACCAAGAACCAGATAGACCATTCATGATTGACAGCCGTCATCAAAGTGATATTGAAGATGTTAGCTGTAAGGATGCTGAGTGCTCAAGTGACCATTTTCTATTGCAGATGAGGTACAAACAAAGGATGTCCATCTGAACTAGAGGAAAAACAAATAAAACCAAGAATAGATACAAGATAGAGGACCTTAAAAATACTGAGAACCAAGAGCAGTATAAAAAGAGGAAGATGGAAAAAGAGTTGAATTTCTTAGATGCGGAAGATAGTATAAAAAACATTTAGACCAAAATAAGGGAAGCGGTGAGAAAGGCTGCGGAAGAGATATTAGGTAGGAGAAGGAAAGAAAGAATAGTTTGACGAAGAATGTAAAATAGCCGTGCAAGAGAAGACAAAAGCTTATTCAAGGAAGCTACAAAGAAATACAAGACAGGCCAATGAATATTACAAACAGAAAAGGGATATTGTGAAGCAGCTATGTAGAAATAAAAAGAGAAAAAAGGTAACAGAAGAACTGAAGGATTTCAAAAACAAAATTACCAGACCTTTCTATGAGGACAATAACAAAAGGGTTCCAACCTCGAACCTGTTTCTATGTAAAGATATTGAAAATCGACTCCTAGTAGGCAAGAAGGAAGTAATGGAAAGATGGAGCAATTACTTTAGAAATATACTAAGATCTAATCAAATCCAAGAAGAAATTGTTTGGAAAGTAGAAATGACTGAAGAGGAAATAGAGCTGGAACCTCCGGATCCTGAAGAAGTAATTATGAAACTAAAAAAAAGCACCAGGAATTGATGGGATTCCAGCAGAAGCACTCAAATTAGGAGGTAAGGCACTGCATAAGGAAATATATGATATTTATATATGGTATAGACAATAATAAAAATTAAAAGTTTTGGGATGCCCGCTGAAGCTTATCAGGCTTTTTAAGATGACCCTGCAGGACAACTAAGGTGTAAAAATTCAAGGAGAATTTTCAAAAGAACTTGAAGTTCAGAAGGGTGTGAAACAGGGAGAGCCTCATTCCCTAGTACTGTTCAATTTGGTATTAGAAGTATTCACACGACTAATCTCATGCGGATGATTTAGTAATTACAGCAAGGACATCCAATTCACTCTTAGGAGCTTTTGAGGAATGTGAAGAAGCTGCAAGAAAAGTAGGACTTGCTATAAATATATAGATAACTACATACATGTTAACAACGAGGGAGGTGAAAGACACTGAGGGGGCTGGATATTGTCTTGAAAATAGAGTACCACAATTTAGACATCTTGTATCTATTATCACTGAAGATAATAATATAAAAGAAGAAATAAAGGCAAAGATAAAAGTTGATAATTGGTGCTATCGTTTTCTAATAAAGATATTTCGAATTCAAGATTTACCACGAGCTTTCAAAATAAAATTGTACAAGACAATATCTGCTTTAGAGGGCAGTATCTGTTTCAGAGAATTTTTTCTGTTTCTGTAGCCAGAAGCTGTTTAAATTAAACAGCTTTCTCTATCTGTTTCAGAAAACTGTTTACGTATCTGTTGCAAGAAGCTATTTAAATGAAACAGATTTCTGTATCTGTTTAAATTAAACAGCTTCTTTAGCTATTTCAGAAAGCTGTTTAAATTAAACAGATTCAGTGTTTCCTTCTTTTCCAGTAGGGATCGCTGTCTCCATTTACTAACCTGTTAAGTGAGTTGTCTTGGATAGTTTCCTAAACTCAGCTCCTGATTTCATCAATGGCTTCATTTTGCTGTTTAGAGATGTATTCGATGGCATCGATGAGCTCAGCACTGATTTTAAGTTTTTAAGTTGCTCTCTCCTAATGGAAGGTAATCCTTGTATCTGTTTAATCTCAAGTGAAACAGTTTACTGTAGCTCAATGAAAGAAACTGTTTAAATTAAACTGATTCCTACTAAAATACACCACCATTACCTGCAACCAGCTGTCATTTATGGAAGCGAGTCCTGATCACTCACACTCAACAAGGAGAGGCTATTGAATAGGTGGGAAAGAAAAATCCTATGTAAAATATATGGCCAAATCAAAGAAGGGAATCTATGGGAAATAAAGAAGAATGAAGATCTGAAGAATATGTATATGTAAAGAATATACATTAGATATTATATCCACCATAAAGAAGGGAAGGATATGATGGTTGGGTAATGTGCAAAGAATGGAACCTACCAGGCTTCCTAAAATGCTGGTGGAGGGACACCCGGGTGGAAGAAGAAAAAGTGGCAGGCCTAGACTTCGTTGGCTGGAAGATGTCGAAGATAATCTTAGGAGCCTGGGTGTAGTCGGATGAAGAGGGGCACCTAAAGACAGGTCGGTTTAGAGGATGAATCTGGAGGCGGTCAATGATCTACAAGGACCACAGCCCAATCAGATGATGATGAAAATATATCTTTTTCACTTTTTAGTTGTTTTGATCTTAATTCATAAAAAATAAAGTAGGTTAATGATATGAGATGATGATATTTATTGGGAAATATATTAGCTAAAATGTTGACTTTTATTGGAAGTATTGGGAGGTGAGTGAAATATCATCAAAATTAAGCTTGCCCATCATGGCAAAATCATAGTTTCAACCATGCATTATACTGCTTAAGATATTGTTAAATAAAGTTTAAAACATTATTTATTTAGATATGTTTATACTAACTAGCGAGCTTCATATACATATCATTGTTGGCTTACTCAAATAATGAATGTGGATATCAACATAATATTTATTTGTTATTCTGAATAGTGAATACATTATTATAACATTTATTTTACTTAACCAATTATTAATCTATATTATTCTTATAGAAACTGGATGTGCCAATTACATAATAGTAGGAAAACAAGTCAAACCAAGTCAAATTCTTTAACACTGTAATCAATATTTTACCTTATAGATTTTTTCCTGTTAACAGTACTTACACTACCAATTATTTTAATACTAAAAATAAATTAATTCTACTTAAAAATATACATGTATATTATATTATATATTCTTATCACAATTTACAAATGCACTTTTTCTTCTCATTTTATATAATAGTAATTATAATAGAAATTATAGTAATAAATATCACAATTGACATCTTAATAAATAATAAAGCTATTACAATTTCAAGTAAATTTTAAAACAAACACATAAATTAAAAACTAATTATAAGTTATACAACATATATAGTGTATAATATATTTAATGTTTACTAAGGCTGTTTGCTGATTCAAGAGTTAATGTTTTTTTTTTTTATTTAAAATATCGCAGCTTACTTACAACAAATCCATTGCCTGTCTCCATTTATCCTCAGAGTAAATTAGTTCAGGATTCACTTTATTCTACAACTTATAATATCCTAAGACCAGTTTGTAAAAGACTGGGTAACTCAGTCTTGAGGTTAGTAAGACCCCGAATCAAGCAACTAGCTCTTACTAATTTTTACCCTCATGAAATTTATGTTAAACATGACTATATTTTTTGAACTATAACACTGTAGTTGTTTTGCTTTTTAATAAACTTTAGTTCATATTTTACTCTAAAACATGTTGTCAGCATACAACTTGAATTGACCAAACATTCATTTTAAAGCTTTACATTAATAATTATAAAAATATAATATACATTTGCAACAGAGTGGTTGTTATTATTTATTAAAATTAAAACAACCATATTATACACCATCAATGCTTGTCACTTTTAGTTCCATGCTAACCATATATTGATTTTTGATTGTCTGAAAAAAACTAAAATAGTCACAATCATGAAATTTCTGGACATAATACATAGTTCCTGTACCATCTCCAAAAGCCTTATCAAATCATTCAAGGCATTAAACCATTGGTCTCACGTTTTTAAGTTGTTTTTTTCCTTTTTAACTCGTTCCTTTTATCATCCTTATTAACCCTGCAATGTTTTAATTCTTAAATATTTTTTAAGATATCAACCTCCAAAATATAAGGAGAAACAAAGTTAAATTTAAAGATTCATAACTTTGGCAATTTTCATTGTATAACAATGATATTTGCACAAAAAATATAAATGTTAATAAGTATGTTGTTTTATAAATACTATCTTATTCTATAGGTCTTTCTGGACATTTATGTGAAAACATTATGGTGATGTAATGAAAATTGAAAAATTATAAATTATTCACTTAATGTATGTCACTATTTTTAGTTAAATTAAGTGTACTAATAATTTTTTACCCACTATAATGATGCTCAAATAACCTCCAGAGGCTCAATTTTTTCCCAGCTCTTGTTAGTCTATAGATTAAGCATTACTTTAAAGTCGTTTACCGTAAATCTTATTTTAAAGTTTTCAAAATGTCCAAATTTGAGCTTTGTCATGACTGCACCAATTAATTGACACTTTGCTAAATTCATTTTTATTACTTAATCTGTTGGTTTTCTGAATATTTTAAAGCAAAAATCATTATGGTATGATGATAATTTCTAAATTAATGGTTTTTTTTTTTTTTTACACTAACACTGTAGTTGTTAAGAATGAAAAAACTTTGTGTCTCAAAAAATATTTTAGATATTAAAATAAAATTTTGTAGGATTGATAAGGATGGTTAAAAGAACACACACACAAAATCATATAAATCTGAGACCAGTAGATCCATTTTAATTTGTAGATGGATGATTTTAAGTGAAATGAACCTTCATCTGGTTAGTTATTTAGTACATCTTTGAATTTTTTACCTTTTTTTATATATAGTTCACTTTTAAAAATTATATAAATTTATTCAAGTAACAATTTTTATTAATAATTTTTTTTATATATTTGTTTAAAAATTATTTTAAACCTATATATACTTTTAGAATTATTGCACATCTTTAGAAATTGAATAAAATTTCTATAATTAGATTTGAAATATGTTTATATATTACTGTTTCTGCTTAGACTTCTAAATAATTGAAATTTATTGATCATATTCTTTAGTTGATTTTTTATTAAAGTAAGTTTCTCGCTCTGGAACAATTTCATTCTCCTCACACTGGTCACCTGAAAAATTCTAAATTCCTCCAATTCATGAAAGTCAAGAGTAATATTACTAACATTGGTAAGCTCTTGTTACAGTTGGACAAATTTGTTTCTTCTGATAAAGGAATGAAGTCCACTGAAACAAGATTAAAATATATTTTAGTCATTATTTAATGATTAAGTTTTAACGTACGTCTTAAACATATTCTGATAAAAAAATAAATATGATTCTATGAGCTTGCTTATTCAAAAATCATTATTAAGCAACAAGAAAAAAAACTTCATAAAGGACTTACTTTGCTACAGAGGAATAATCAAGACTTTAATTATGTTATTTCATTTTTAAGTTTCTTTAGTAAATGAGATTCTAGAAATGAAAATTGACATTGACATTTGTTTCAGTAAGTTTTTCTATAAAATAAATTTAAAAAAAAAAAACTAAATAAAGTCTGATGATCTATAGAAAAGGAATCGAACCAATTATATTCCAGATGAAGAAGAAAACAAAAAAATCTGGTGTGTCACACGACTTTTCTACCTATTTCAGAAAAGTATTTATATCTTTACATATGTCCATAAAAAAACAAATTTAATTAGATTTATTTTCCTGAAAATCAATCAAAGAAATGATTTCAGTACGATTTATTCGATAAACTAAAACAATCTAAACCGGCTTAAGGTAGATCAGTGTAAACATTTCAATACTCTCTAATATTGCTGATCAAAAACTTTTTGCCATAGCCTAATAGTGGTCAACAGATTTTCTTACTTTAACTTAGTTATATTTTTTCTCTCATTCAACCATTTCTGACGCCAGGATATGAATCCATAATCAAGTTCAATTGGTAATTGAATGGCTATAACTTGGTTAATAGTTGTCCGAAATGAACGATTTTTATATGGTTTTGTAGGGAATTTCATTACCCTACTAAACAGTTTTTTTTTCGAACTCATGGGGCTCTAATATAAATCCATCGAAAACCGCAGATTGAAAATTTGATCCGATCGGAATACTTTCCGTACCTAGTATAGGTAGCAAAATAATCAATTAAAACATGTGTAGAAACTAGAATAAGCTGTATCGTTCGATTCCGATGCTGTTTTTTTTTTGTTTTGTTGGTAATTTAATTACCTTTGAAAGTTTTATTATAAATTTTATCATAGTATATATACTTAGCAAGTTAGGTGCCAAAACATTTTTCTTTTCTTTATAACTTTTTTCCTGAATTTATTCGGGAATTTAGTTCATGTACAAAAATTGAAAGGATAATTATCAAAACAGTACAGGAAAGTTTCATCAAAATCGTTTTACTAGTTCCCGAGAAAATCTTGGCGTGCACAGAGACCGACCAATGGCTAAAAATGTGTTTGTCGAACTCAGGGGGCTCTGAAACGTATAGATCCGTTGAAAACCGCATATCGGAAATTTGACCCGAGCGCAATACTTTCCTTACCTAGTATAGGTAGGAAAGTAAAAAGATTCAAGTGAAGAAAAAGTAATTATATGAGAATTTTATTTAATTGCTCACTTACAATTAGTACAAGAACAACACTAATAACAACTTTAATAAGTTCATTTACCTGGGAAAAAACTGTTACTAACAACACTTCCTTCTGTACTTTCTGTTAAATCTATGTATGTTTCCATTTCTAAAAGAAAAAAAAAAAAAAACATTACTTAATAATTTTTAAAACAAGAGCTACTATTGAACTTTCAATATTAGGTTGGAAAGATTAATATATTCTGTATTTTTGTGTGTAATAACATTTTAATTATTCCGAAGTACTGAATGCAGTCAGACATTATTAATGAGGCTGTCCAACCACAATTGACAGGTTAACCTCTTTAAATAAGTTTTATTTTTTCCATCAACAAATAATTCTGTTCAATTAAAATTTTAATAATGTCTATCATTCATACTGGTGATAATTAAAATAATATCAAACCTATCAAAATCTGACAGAAAACCTCCAATTATTAATGTTTACAAATATAATCTCTCCTAATTCATATATAGATTAATTTCTGTAGCAAAAAAATATTTTTTGAATTATTAATTATAACTATCCTACAATCTTGTGATAAATTACTGTAATTTTTAAAAAACAAGAACACACTTTTAGTGAAGATTATATTCATAAACGTCTTCTAACAGATTTTTTAGTTAATCAATGTAATAAATCATAGTTAAAGCTATAGGTTAAAGTGCTAAGCATTAGTTTTTCCATAATAAGCAATCTTTAGCTGTTAGCAAAATAACAAACATGATTTTTAAAATTTTAACTGTTATAAACATTACTAAATTACATCTCATCTAATAAATTTGGGTAATTTAAAAAACATGAAACAAATATCAGGCTGTAGGTTAATAAAATGGACATAACTCACCTCCACCTAAAGTGGCAAACCTAAAGATTGCTGAAGGTTTACTCCATCCAAAGATATTTCTTGCTACTACTGAAGTTTCATAAGCAGTTGCTGGTTTCAATCCGATTAAAGAATATGTCTGAGTATGTATTGGTCCATTAGAAAACATATCACCAGGGATTACCAGCTTAGACCAATTTTCTGGTTTCTCGGACCTCTAATTAAAGATTAAATGGATTCTAATTAATAAATGAAACAAGAAAAATTTTTGTTTTAACTGCAATATAAACATTTGTCAAAAATTCAGGAGAAATGTTAAACACTTAAAATGAATATATAACAAAAGTTTAATTTCTTCTAAGCTTTAACAATACATTGCACCTTTATACTAAATCCTGGCTGTGATATTTACATACCTAGAAAAAAGATGCTTGAAGAATATTTTAATACCAATTTTTAAATAAAAAAATAATCAATACAAATGAATTAATCCTTATTGATGTTTAATCATCCAGATATAATCATTTTAATTATGTTAACAACAAATGATAACCAAAAGTATTTCAATAAAGTTCTTGTAAGTTCTAGTATTAAATTAATTTAAGTAATAATATAATCATTTTTTTACTCACCTGGTATTGTCTGAATAGCAGGCTATATTGTATGATTGATGAATAGCTATCAACCTCCCATGCCAAGGTAACATTTTTTTCGTCTGCTTTAAAGTAAGACTCTTTGAAAACAGGAATATCCGCATGTCCTGTACATAATTAGGAAACTGCTTTAACTTGTAGATTAGGTAACATTTTGTCTTGTAATGTTTTAATTTTTTTCAAAAGTTGTAAATTTATAATTACATGAATAATAAGGAGGAATAATTTAATAAGAAAAAATGAAAGAGCAATCTAATGAGTTATGCAGAGGCTCAGTTTTAAAAGCAGAGGTCCTCGACGAAGGACTAGACTCCCAATACTTCTTGGGCCACTAAATTTTCCTCAGTTATCTTTTTCCTCTTCGTCCATTTCTTGTGTTTTTTGTTTGCAGATGAAATTGGATCCAAAACTTCTCTTTATTGCCAACCTTGCTGAGATTGAACCTACTCTTTCTTTTTTGATCTCATATCTAGTCATTAAATTTATTTCTATTCTATATTTTATATTATATTTATCTGAGCTGTTTTATCTAATTTGTGAATTTCCAAACATTTTTATGTGATCTATTCTATAGTCTATTTCATTAATTGCTTATTGCATTATTTAAACTTATCATAATCACATAAGCACTGTAAATTTTGTTTATTAGTGAATTATAGCTATATCTGGGTGTTCCACATTGAAAAGACTCTTCTGCTCAAATTAAATTCCATACAAAGTTAAGTACTTACAATCTAACATCTTCATAGCTTCTAAAGTGTCAATAGATAGGAAAAAAGTTTGGCAAAGGATAAATAAAGAAAAAGAGAATCTATAGTTTATTTACAGCAAATTTCAAGTGAAATTGTTTTTAAATTGAAGAAAGAAGTACTTCTTTTTGGTTGTTTTGACCTTAATTAAGTCTATAAAATGAGTTAATGTTATGTGATGATGATATTTATTTCGAAATATATCATCTACAATATTATTATGAAATTTTGACTTTTATTGGAGGCTGCTGGGGGACGAAAGAAGGGAGAGTAAAATTAAACTTGGCCCTCCTGGCAAATATCCTAGTTCTGGAATTGATTGCTAATTGGTTTAGTAGTAAATATATATATTAGTTAAACTATACGGTAGAGTTTTAACACTTTGCGCTACACAGAATATAAAATATATTCCACAGAAATGTCAAAATACTACAAATCAAAATATAAAATCAGAGATTTGAAAATTTAATTTAAAGTAAATTAAATCAAACCTGTCCTCCAAACATTATCTTATTAAAATGACAAAACAAAAAAAAAAACTATGCATAATGCTATCCTGCTTAGTAAATTCTAGTTGGTTTCCTTAACCAAATTAAAACTTTTAAAGAGCATATCGAGTTGAAAACAAAAATGGACCAATTTTAAATTTTAATTTCTTTCATTAGAAGAGTATCTTTTTTAGTTTTTTTTTAAATGTATAATGTTTAAGTTTCTTTTAAAATGTATAAACACTATCAACAAATCTGTCTCTGTCAATCAGGGGTCCACAAAAGGGTGTGTTGTATGGTACTAGTTGTGCCATCAAAATGTTTGAAGCAGAAATTTTTTACAGAGTTCTGAATTTTTAGAGAAAAACATATTTTTAAAATAAAGGATTGTTTCTATTTAAGAGAATTTTCAAACAAAGGCATGAAAAAAGTAAACTACAAATTTTATAATTTTAGTTTCATTAGTAACTTTTACTTGTATTCACCGTTGTTACAAAGAGAAGAGCAACAGATGTACTTGGGGACAGAAAGGGAGAGTTCAAGCGCCATCACCCTTGGGGAGGATGGACAACTCTACTGTCAATTAATTTTTGTTGCAGTATTATATTGCCATTTCCTTCCCATAAAACTCTTATGTCTTTATCTAGATCTATGTCTAAATTACTTCCGTTACCTATTTCTCATTGAAACCCGTAGTCTCCTATTCACTTCCTTAATTTTTCCCCAGTTTGATTATTGCTGTACGGTATATGGGGGGCATCTCTGGAGATCTCAAGGCGAAACTAAAACATGTGATAAATTGCTTTGTATGATTCATCTTCGGGATCACAAGGGACGCTTCTGTTTCAAATTTTTATGCTGAGTTGAAGTGGCTTTATCCTTCTACCGTTGTAAGTATTTCCTAGCATCCTTCCTCTTTCAAGTTATCCAATCCAATTCAAGTCCGTCATACATCTTTGAACTCCTTCAATTCAAGTTTCCTGTTCCTTCTCGGTCTTCTGATTTATACATAAGGGATCCACTGAACTGCTGCATTCGACAGATCATTGATTATCCGATCCTATCTCTATGGAAGTCCAATCCTTTCTACATCCGTCAATCCTTCCTACCTTTAAATCTCACCTGTTCAATCATTTCTTATCCATCCAGTCTCCATAAAATTGTAAATAGATACTACTGTAAATACATTGACAGGCAAAAAATTCCACCCACTTGATTTTTCCATGTTTTCATCTAAAAATATTTCTGTAAAGTTGTATTTGTATATAATACATGGTATTTGTGGATAATACTTAGTATTTATGAAATTTTATAATCTTTTTTACCTTTAATAATTAAAATGTGATTGGGTAAGAAAGATTAGAGAAAAAAAAATTGAAAACGAACCATTATTATTCAAAAGAAATTAATTACATCATCGTTTAGTAGCGCGTGTTTCCTCCTCTTGCCTTCACTACTTCTGAAGACGCCTCGGCATACTTTCCACCAGTCGGAAATGTCCCTTTGCTGGAGGATAGCCCATTCCTCCCGAAGAGCCCTTTCAAGGTCCTGCAGTGTATCAGGAAGTGTTGCACGCGCTCTTATTCGTCTTCCGAGGTTATCCCATAAATGCTCAATGGGGTTCAAATCTGGAGAACGTGCTGGCCAGGCTAAAACCTCAATATTGTTCTGTTGAAGGAACGTCTGCACTATGCGGGCGACATGTGGGCGTGCATTAGAATAGAACGATCGCCGATTTCATTGAGGATAGGCAACACATGAGGTTCCAAAATCTCATCTACATAGCGAATGGCCGTCAAAGACCCTCCACGAACAACAACCAATTCTGTGCGGCGCTCCATTGAAATCCCAGCCCACACCATTAAGGAACCACGTTGGAAAGGTTGGCTCTGGGAAAAATTACAGGCTGCATATCTTTCGTTTCTTCTTCTCCACACCCTTTCACGCCCGTCTGGAGATCGAAGAGCGAATCTTGACTCATCTGTAAAAAGTACAGCACTCCATTCGTCCATAGTCCAATGGCTGTGTTCTCGAGCAAAAGCCAGCCGTGTTACTCTGTGAGTTCTGGTCAACTCTGGTCCTCTTACTGGACGAAAAGCCATTAATCCATACTCATTTAATCTTCTCCGAGCGGCACGTTCAGAAATTTGCACACCTCGAACTTCTTCGAGCTGATGAATCGCTTGAACAACGGTAAGGTGCCGGTTTCGTAAAATTCTCAAAGTCAAAAACCGGTCATCCCGTGGTTCTGTTACCCTAGGCCGTCCAGAACCGGGCCTTCTATTGTAAGAACCAGTTTCCCGAAAACGCCTGACGGCGTCTCGTAAAGTTTCATATGGAACTCCGATGGCATTAGCTGCATATCTAATGGAACGTCCATCATCAATAAGTGCCACACCACGCGCAACATCCTCAGCACTAAGAGGCATTTTTAAACTTAATATTGAAAAAATTAAAAGCCGGTGACTAAGAAATGTGCTGCAAGAAACGGCACTGAACTAATGATACTGAATAAACATTTTGATTCCATAGAAAGTAAACATTGGAATCTAGAATCATTTCATTGAATTAAGGGTTATTGTCCTCTATATTAACATTCCTAATTGAAAACAAACAAAAAGATTACCTATTTATTCATTAAAAACAATAGACCAACCCAAAGCAGAAATATATTTAGATGAGAACATGAAAAAATCAAGTGGGTGGAATTTTTTGCCTGTCAGTGTATGTATATAAATTATTAGATCGTTCTTCATTACTTTTACTTTGTTTTTTCAATTTTTTAGTGTTAACTGATTTAAGTTATGAAGTTTTTTTTTTTTTTTTTTTTTTTTTTTTTTTTTTTTTTTTTTTTTTTTTTTTTTTTTTTTTATCGTGACTATTTAGTTACTCTGTATTTTTGTTTATGTATCTCTGATGATCCATAGCCCACATTTCTGTCTTTCTGTTATTATTATATTTCTCGTATGGGACTTCCATTCTAAAATCAATAATTTAGACTGAATTGAAAATTATTATTATCAGTTTTGAGATAATAGAATTTAATCTGTAGTTACCAACCTGAAACTTGTATCACTTGTTGGCTCTTGCCTAGCTTATTAGTTGCGAGACAGGTGTAGTAACCAAAGTCTGTCATTTTTGTATTTAACAACACCAATCCATGAGCGTTTCCTTTTTTGAATGTAACGATTCTCGCCCCTGTTTGTACTGGTTTTCTCTCAAAAAGCCATTCAACCTAATAGATAGAAAAAAACAAAAACTATAAATTGATTAATATAACCCTATATGATTGGTATATAATTCCTACTTATACAATACCCTACATTAGCTTTGGGTGAAGCTTCAATATCACACTCTATGTTCGTTCTCATTCCTGGGGCTGTGTGAATCCAAATACTTTCAGTTGTAACTACTGGTGGATCTAGAAGGCAGAAAATGAATGAGATAATATCAAATCAAAAAAACTAAAAACTTATTACAGAAATAGTCATTGCACTAGTTGACCTATGCAAATAATTTTCATAGAAATAAAAACTGACAAAATAAAAAAATTAATGTGTGTCAAGATGGAAGAATCTATTTTTATTTTCTCGGTAATTGTGTAAACTAAGGGGGAATAAATTTTTAAAAACTTCATGCTTGTTTAAAAATTAAAAAAAAAAACATGTTTACAAATAACAATAAACTGTATCTTAGCTAATAATAGCCTGATTTCAGTGACTTTCGTTTTATTTTGTAGTGAATTTAACAATCTTTTACATAATTATGGATGTAATACAGGAAAAAATGTATATTCGCAGATAAAGTTGCTTTTCCACCATCACTTGTTTCTTGAAATTTTGGGGGATGTGAATGTTTTTCCCACTTGAAAGAGGAATTTTCAGAATGAGTACTCAATTATTGTATTTGATGAACAATCAACAAAAACATGAAAAACGACAAAAAAAAACACCTTTGAGAAATAATACATAAAGATAGTAGTTCTCAGTTGAGCTGGTTTCCATTCAAACTATTTCATTTTTTATTTGAATTTTTTTCCTGTTGTCCAATAAAAGGTTTATAACTCCTTCAGGATTTTCTCCCAATTGAATGTATTTAGAACCCTTGGAAAACTGAATTATTGCTCTTTAAAACTTTATAAATAAATAAAGAAGAAATATTAACATATATTTATTTTATATCTCCAGTTCTAAAATGTTTGCTGGGATCTGGTTTGTGTAATTTCCTGTAATTTATGTGGCCCCAAATTTCTGCTGATTTCTGTGTGGACAGTTGGAGTCACGTTTAAGTTATTAAACTTTTTGTGATATTTTAGAAAAAAAAAAATCCAAAGGAGCCTAGATGAAAATTTTAAGCACAGAGCACAAATTGTTTCAAAACCTACAAATTTTAAACCAATTTCGATAATTTTTTTTTGTTTTGTAAGGAATTTTGTAATTTTATGGGTCTAATTTACCTATTTCCTTTTGAAACCCGTAGGCTCCTAGTCACTTCCTTAATTTTTCCCCACTTTGACTATTGCTGTACGGTATATGGGGGCCTCTCTGGGGATCTCGAGGCGAAACTAAAACGTTTGATAAATTGCTTTGTACGATTCATCTTCGGGATCCCAAGGGACGCCTCTGTTTCCCATCTTTACGCGGAGTTAAATTGGCTTTATCCTTCCTACCGTCGTAAGTATTTCCTGGCATCCTTCCTCTTTCAAGTCATCCAATCCCACCGTCCCTCATACATCTCCGAGCTCCTTCAATTCAAATCCTCTGTTCGTTCCCGCAATACTCGTTCCCGGTCTTCTGATTTATACATAAGGGCCCACCGAACCGCTGCTTTCGAAAAATCGTTCATTATCCGATCCTCATCTCTATGGAACTCCATCCCTTCCCATATCCGTCAATCTAATACCCTTCCTACCTTTAAATCCCGCCTGTTCAATCATTTCTTATCCATCCAGTCCCCATAAAATCGTAAATAGATACTACTGAAAATATGTACATAAGTTATTAGTTCGTTCTTCATTATTTGTTCTCCAATTTTTGTTTATCTATTTTTTTTTTCTCTTTTATTATCAACTGATCAAAATTGGAAAGCAACTTATATGTATATGTGTATATATATATATATATATATATATATATATATATATATATATATATATATATATATTTTTTTTTTAACCAAGACTGTTCAATTACTCTGTATTTTTATTTATATATCTCTGAGGCTCCTTAGCCCTCATTTCTGTCTTCCTGTATTATTCTAAAGGGACTCGTCCCAGAATAAATAAAGTATTATTATTATTATTATTAATTTTATGTAATTTTATGGTGAGTTTTGTAATTAAACAAGTATGGGTATAGCCCCAAAAAAACAATGTATGGTTCAACAATCCTACTTCTTGAGTTATTTGCAAATAAACTTTCTTTTCCTTCATAACTTCCGTTTCCTGAAATTTCGGGGGATATGACTATTTGTCACTTCTTCAAGAAATTCTCTTTCCTTCGATACTTCATCCACAAAAATTCATCAAACTTTGGGAAATACTACCATATTATATATAAAGATACATGGAACAGTATTCATAAATAATTGTTGTTAAAAGCTAATCAAATTCAGTGCTGCGTAGTAAATTTATTTGAATGAATGAATGATGAATACTCGAGCGAATTTAGTAGCCTATACAAGACGGAATCAACTGAATGTTTATCTAAACCAATAGGTGATAAATCACAAAAAATTCCAGATCTCGATAAGCGGTATTTATTTTTAAGAAATGAAGTGTAATCCAAAATGAATGCCTAAGCTTCACTTAAATCAGCTCGTTGATTTTACAGCATATATTAATGTGCATCCGATAACAGAAAGAAGAATGTTGTTGTTCTTGACGTGTGGCAAGGAGGAAGCCACTAATCTCATGTAATAATGAAAAGAAAGGATTGTAATTCACAAATTTAAGAAAAGATGAGTAATTAAACTATTGGAAGTCAAGGAGCTAACGTTGGTTCAAGAATGCAAGGAGGAGGAAAGATGCGAGGATGTGAGGGGCAGTGCGCCGTTGTGAAGGAGACCTTTTATAAAGTTGACCCTGGTAGCTGAACTAAACATTTAAAAAAAAAGAGAACTTTTTCTATTATTTTTAACGAACTATACATAATATCCTCTGAAGTGTTCAAATTAATATTATTACTTACACAATACCTTAAATAAGTACCTACAATATATCTCAGTTGCTGTTTTCAAAGAGGTTTCAGTTCGTATCGTAAACTTATACATATAATTTAATAATCTTAACTAACAAGTTTTTTCTCCGTCGTCGTCGGATCTATAATCACTATTTTCTTCTTTGAAACTGAATCGGTGCCGGTACAGAACGCCCACAGCCTTCCGCCTTGTCAGTAACACGAAAAAAAGACACAATAATTGGATTAATGGAACCCTTCCTGTTTACAGAGAGCATTTATTTTAATTACAGTAATTTCTAGGAGAGTTTTAATCGCATCAAATGGAGCAGTATCAACTTGCTCAATCATCGAGGACTGGATTTAAAGGTCTTTAAAAATCCTTTTATTTTTCGGGAGAATTTAACAAAATATCGAGAAAAACGCTCAAATAATTTATACGTTGAGAGAAGAAAAACTATTGTTAAAGTATTTGTCAAATTTAAGAGAACATTGAATAAATGCATAAATTTGTTCTGAATTGGAGCATTGTTTAGCGGAAATGTTTTTATCTGGACGGAACCACGCGCTGCTGAGTAATGGGAATGGCTACTTATCCTGGTCATTCTTCACCCAACGTTTAGCACTGCTAAAAGTGTTTTTTTATGAAGAAATTATCTAATACATGATACAACGAGCCTCATGTATATATACTTTTTGTTTACCTACAAGAGGATGTTATTTTTTTTTAAGTTGCTTAGATATTATTTTCATTCTTTACAAAAGAGGATACAGGATTTCGTTTTTGGGAGGCTTCAGCCCGAAAGTTTTTTTTTTCATATATATATCGATAATTGTTTTGTGAAAAAAAGAAAAGAAAGAAACTGAATACCTACATGAAATGGTGTTTAAGAGATTCTTCAAGTCTACACAAACAATAATCCTTTAAAAGACGATTTTTAAGTGTTTTTTCCCCCATAAAACATGGTTATATTTTGGTAAGAGGTCTTCAGCCCGAAAGCCCCTTCTAGTAGATCCGCCTGTGATTCTTTATTTGTTTTATGCATAATTTTTAACCAACTTCGAAAAAGGAGGTTCTTCTCTTTTTTTGATTGTTCACGCATAATTTCTCCAGTCTTGAAATGATTTTCTGTTTTAAAGCATATATAATAATTCGATGAAAACTTGGAGAGATAGAAAAACCTCTCCACGAGCAGCTGCTCATTCCTGATAAGTATAATGGTTTATTTTGTAATGCATATTTTAAAATATATTTGTTACTTTACTTATCCCTCCACCTCAAATCAATAATTTATTAAAGCATCCTAAGAATTGTTTTTCTTCACGGCTGAGCCACAATGAGGGTTATACGTTTGCATGATCAGCAAAAATTTATGTAAAGATTTTTAGACTGAACGGCTGAACCGATTTTTAAGTTATATGGTTCAAATTACGCGGGAAGATCTCACTAATGTTTTGAAACCATTTGAGCTGAAATTACTGAAAACATATTTTAAGTATTTTGAGGTTTTTGTTGGTTGCATATCACTAAGTGTACGTTCGTGATCATATATGCTGATATAAAGGCAGTACATGAAGAAATAAAAATCTTTAAAAATTAATTAAATACTAAACCTACTTCAGAAGTATTTATTTATCCCTGGGAATATACTTGATCTTCTACTTAAACACATTGGTAGACCGTCAGAGAAATTGACGTCTGCGAATATCTAAACTTGGTGTAGTAGTCGGGTGCATCCAATACCCTTAACGTTTCCTGGCAGGTAGATTTCATTCGTTTCATGGGTATTTTTCAACATCCAAAAGAATTTTGATTTTTTTTTTTGGGGGTGGGATGAAAGGTTTCTAAATGCTTCACCAAGTTTAAATGTTCGTAGACGATATAAGTTTAAAGGCAATATATAAATATAACATTTAAATATATATACGTATATAAATACAGCATTTTAGCCTATTTTTAGTAAACAAATCGCTAATATTAGGTATGTCACATTGCCTACTTGCTTATCTATGTCCTTATAGAAAATAGAAGGGTCAGCAATGTCAGCTTCCCTTAGTATAAGTCTTTTTTTTTTTTTTTAATTTGATTGAACTTGGGTGATAGCTACCCAACCATACCGCTCGCAATATGTGGTCCGTTGCCCTGTGACAATGAAAGCAACGTAGTGTGACATACAGACGCAATCCAATCACAGAAATTAGATAAGGCTACCTTCATACCTTATAAGCCTATCCAAACTCTGCTTGGAGCAGTGTAGCTATTGAGCATAATATTGTTAATACCTAATTAAAAACAGAATGAAATATAAAATTAAATATTCACATATGACCCTGACGACGATGGAAGCAGTAGCCGGGTCCCCAACATCATTGGTGGCCACGCAGGCGTATTCTCCGCTCATTTTGGACGAGCTGGCTGTGAACCTCAGGTCATTCCTCATGCTCAGCAATGGTATCTCCTCACCCTGTGCGAAGTAAAAGAATAAAATTCAAGCTAGTGCAATGTATAACTATTAAATAATATAAGAGAATAGTAACGAGAGCAACTCAGTGGCGTGCCTAGACCATTTGGGGTCCAGAGCGGATTATTTCTGATCTTGTACTGTGTGGCAATCGTGCCAGGTGTTGACCGAAAATAGAATTGTTTTAGTTCTGATCAGGTCAGGGATGGATCTGCTCCGGTGACTACAAGAATTCGACACCCCCAGCAAGTTGCTACTCTTGAGTGACAGGAGAGTAAAGATTAGGGTCGAGATAAATTTTGAAAGAGGGCTCTGTACTAGGGACTGGCCCTGTGGAAACTTGTATTTGATCAGTTGTTGGAAGAGCTGGAAAATGGAGGATTCCCTACCACGGCCTACGAAGACGACCTAGCAGTCGTCGTGGCCGAAGGCAGTAGAGCCAGACTGAAGATACGAGCAGAGAGATGTGCTAGTCACGTTTCGGAGTGGCGTGTGAGGCAAAAACTCAGTATCGCCGCCGCCAAGACGCAGACCATACTCATGAGAGGCTACATGGACATGCATCACTCCATCAGCCTTTACATACAAGGAGAGAAAGTAAGAGTGGGTAAAGAAGTTACGTACCTCGGAGGAAGGCTAATGAGGAAGTTTGATGTCACCCTCGCCTACAGTACTTAAGCAATAAGATGAGCCTGTCAATAAATGGACTAAGCAGGAGAGGGGATGCGTTTTGGATATCTGCTAGTCTCATATACCCTGCTACGATGAACATTTATAAAGGCGTGGTCTTAGGGATCTTGAGGTAAGCGTCCCCAGCGTGGAGCAGAAAGCTCGCACAGCAGCAGAAGAGGAAACTGGCCACCATTCACCGATTGGCTCTACTGAGCGTCACGAAGAAATATAGGACGGTGTAACATGAGGCAGCACAGGTGTTGGCCGGACCTCGTTCTCAGGGAGGATGCTCTGAATGTTAAGTGGTAGGGGCTAGAAGCGCTTCCCGAGATACTCCGGCGAAAGGTCAGCGAGAATTCCTACCAGTGGAAGAAAATTGTTAGGGAAGACCGACACCACCGTCCACTCGAGAGTAAAAATTAAATGGGTCCTCCCAGACTACTGAGCCTCGCAGATCATGACAAGACACTGAGGCTTCCGAGGGAAACTACACGCACATGGGAAGAACATCGATCTCCGGTGTCTCAGCTGTGGGGTACCCGAAACGGCAGAACATGTTGTGGCATCCTGTGCTGATATGGAAGTGGGATACCGTGCTAGGTCTTCGAGAAAAACTGGTGTTTTCGCCCTCACCGAAACGGACGTTTCCCAACTGATGGAAGAGATGAACTACCCTTTCTTCAGGGAGTTCGTCTACGGGTGGAAGAAAGTGGTGTACCCACTTCCCCATACTTCACTCTTGGTAGGACCCCACATCCCGGTATAGAAGAGCCGCGTAAGAACGAAGAGGAACGAGCAGATGGCAGGTGATGACCAGACGGACGCAGCGGACCAGGAAGGCTAGACCGCAATATCGACTGATGCAGGCTAGGCCGATTGCAATGTGTCAGAAGGGCTGGTCATGCGATCTGCTAGAGGATAAGGTGCGGCGCCTGTGGAGTCCCCGAAACGGCAGAACATGTTGTATCCTGTGCTGATATGGAAGAACACCGTGCCATGTTGTCGACAAAAAACGGGTATTTTCGCCCTCACTGAAACGGACTCTCCCCGACTGATGGAAGAACCATCAGTAAGGTTTTATTGGCAGTAGTGGGCGTACGTATACCTAACGTATTAGCTCCCTACTGTCGAAACTTCGTGTGCCAGAAATGGTATGTAGGGGAAATAAAGAAAACATAAAAAAAGGGGGGGGGGCTTGAGTTCTGAGTTATCAAGAAATCCGAAAGAAATATTAGATTTTATCTGTGTGAGAAATGCTAACAAATCGATTAACTAAATATTTCATATTTCTTGCCATTTATAATCGATTTTCTTAATCATACTCAAGATAATTAATTAATTCCAATTATTTATCTACAATGAGCTATTGTAGACAAGGTTTGTCATTTTTTTTAAATTTTCTAATATCTAATAAATTATGATTTATAGTTATTCGCGGGTATTGTACCGTTGGCCTTGTAACAGTTTGTTAGTGGTACAGTTTATCCGCGAGTATTGTTAATAGTAAATTTAAGATGTGTAGATATTAAATATCGAAACTGATGCTATAAAACGTTTTATTTTGATTTCATACATATTTATTTATTATCATCTTCAATATCCCATCTATATCCCTACAACGCTGCTCTAAGCAAATCTATTGTTTGAAACAGTACTGGAATTTCTTCTGTCAGCTCCTTCAGGAACTTTCTCTTTCAGCAAGAAAGAAAATGTAGCAATGTTGCTTTATATTTTGACCTCCAGGAACCCATTGGTGGTGCACACTCCCATGTATATAAAAAACAAACAATAATCATTGCGTTGTATTCTGTTTTGTCTTTCGAGCTGTTTTGGCTGGACATGAGTAAATCATAAAATCCTAGGATATGTTGCTACATATAATTATACATGTAAGATAATGATTGTTATCTTTGAATATGAACTAAAGTTTCAATAATAGAGATATAGGGTGTGGTAAAGTACTTACGTATCTACTTCTAGCCCTTAGGTTAGCCACCTAATCGGCTTTTATTTTTTCTTAATTAATTTTCGTTTACATGTTTTAACCATTCATGTAAATTAATTCTTATAAATTTTGATTTCATTTTCGTTCTTCGAAATATGGTGAGTGGGGAGGGAGCAAAACGATATTCTTGCTCCCTCTCTATTTTTATTGGGAGGCAATCGCCCTCCTTGACTTCTCGAAGTCTGCGGCTATGCATCCAGTACGGTTTCGGGCAATGGTGTTGTAGAGGTAGATAATGAGTGTATATCAAAAGTGATAATAAGTAAATATGTATGAAATCAAAATAAAATGATTTACAGCATGCATCAGTTTCTTTAATTGAGCCACTGCTCGTATTTTAAACTACCGTATTTTTTGTCCTCTTTCTCGAAAAAAAAAAATTCCTTCTTGTTCGCATCCTGTTGATCCGCATCCAAATCAAGTAGATTTAGATGAAAACTATGTTAATTGGAGGATAGTATTTTGTCGAATATTGTTATTAGTATCGCTCTTTCACGTTTATTAAAAATCTTACAACGGTTATAGTTCAATACACAAAACTTGTAAAAATAACCTTTTGCTTGATAAACTACTGTGTCTTTTAATTGTTATATATTAGATTCTATAAATTATATGCGATAAATTTATAAACAAATTTGCATCTTGTGAGGCCATTCATCCCTGAACTGACCAATATAATTAATTAAATTGAGGAAGGAATAATGAAAGGTTGTTAATCCTAGTACTAATATTAACTATGCAGCTAGCGAGAGATGTTATCGTTTTGAAAATTAATAGTCACGCGAAAACCACTAATATCTCACAGGTTGTGGTCAATTATTTCAAACTAGTTTCTCATAACCAATCCAAATATTTGAAGGTAATTAGATTAATATTTAAACAGTAATACCACTTTCAGTTGGCTTAGTATTAATATTTTGTAAGTATTTAGTAGGGAACCACTTTATTTAAATCTGAGTGAAGACTGACTGACTGATCTCTGAACAATATTCTCCGTAACAATATGTTTTTATTTTGATACTTGTGTTTGTTTGTTTTTTTCTTAATGATTGCTTTTCAATGAATTCACTAACCAGATTGGGGGGTAATTGAAGGAAATAATGACTAAATTTTAGTAATGTTTTTTTATATAATACTTATATTAAGCTACCTTGAATGTCCAGTTGATCATTGGTGTCGGTACTCCCGTGGCTGTACAGGTAAGGGTGATCTCCTGATGTAGTTCAACATCTACAGTTTCTGTCTCTGGCAGCATCTTAACTTTTGGTGGAACTGAAATCCATAAAATAAAATGTAACATATTATCAGGTTTTCAATCAAAGTATCTTAAAAAGAAAAGTTAATTATTTTTTTTATTTCAAGTACAATTAAAGTATGGAAACAAAGTAACACGGCCCAGGCGTAGACGTTATTGGGGGAACTGGGACAAAATAATGTGGCCAAGATAAAATTTTGATGAATTGGCACAATAACGTGAAAACGTGTTTTGTGCTGACTTGTGTTGCTATGTTGGTATATTTAATAAGGGACCCATTTCATAGGCTTGCCATATTTGTCTAGGAATATGCAGGTATATTTCCACACGATTATTTATTTCATAAATTACATGGTTAAATTATTTGGTAATAGACTCATCTATTTAGTTTATAAAAAATCATCATAATTTATCTGGGTCAAGTTCAATTTTCTTCTCTTGTTTATATAATCAGTTAAAAAAATGTTTTGCAGCGCACTTATATACCTCCTCGTATATAATAACTTGTTCAGAAAACCAAACCCTACACCAACAATGAATGTTATCTTCCGAATTTTATATTTTCCTCAATCGAATGCATAGTGATCGAATTCAACAATGTCTGCGCTTGGTGATGATATTTTACCAGTAAATTAGTTATAAAAATCAGTGATGTAGCTCCATTTTTCACTAATTCGTAACTATTATTTAACATTGCACCAATCCATCCTACGAATAGCTCAGTCGCTGAACATTTGTTCAAATTCGGATTAACGGAAGTAGGTGTTGTGCCCGTCACATGGATTCGACTACCTAACGGAATTCGTTATTTTATGTCTAAAACGCATTTCTCGAGTAGAATATTTGATTTTGAGAAAAAAGCATTCTCTACCTCAGTTACATAGGCCATAACATCAATAGAATAAATATCTAAGGACTCACATATGACCTGGATGGCATGGTGCTGGTAGATTGGTCCCCAGGGAGGAGGCCTCACAACCTGGCAAATGTACTGTCCAGAATCCCCATTTGCGACATCAGAGATCCTCAGGGTGTGGTTCTCGAAGACCTCCACGTTCGGAGACTGTACCGTTTTGTGCCCGCTCTCTGCCAACAGAATTCCGTCTTTCCACCACCTGACCCTGTTCTCACCTGGAAGATGATATACAGTTAAAGAACCAGAAGAAAATTGTATTTCTTATAAAGATAAAGTAGACGTTGGTACCAAGATTGTCGACATAGCACGGCAAGAGAACAGTCTCATGTTCGATCGTCTTTATCGTTCTCCCGATGCTCTTGAACACTGGAGGACGCTCCTCGTTGACTTCGGCAGCTACCTTCACTTCTGTAACAATTATGAAAAACATGTTTTTTATTAATAATAACTGAGAAGGAATAGAAAACAGTTTGGAAATTCTTTCTGCACTTTTTTGTGAAGACTATTAGATTGAGTCGCCAGATCTCCGATGCGTAATGCTCGGGTAAAGTCGGCTGGAGTCGATTAATGGAAATGTTTTGGCATGTGGATTAAACATATCTCAAAAACTAAATATCGGACGTGCATATTATTAGTGAGCGAAATGTTCACCATTTCAATCTTATTGTAATGAGCTATTATTTAAAATTTTATTTTAACTCAACGCTGTGTTAGAGAGGCGAAAAGGAAAAAAATGGTGCCCAAAACCTAATGGAAACTAGTTTTATTGAAGATATTGATTAAAATATCTTAGAAACTAAAAATCGGACCTGTATACAGTAAGAGAGGAAATTGTTCAGCATTTTATCCTGTCTGTAATGGCCTATTATTCAAAATTTTATCTTAACGCGATGCAGTATTAGAAAGACAAGACAAAAAATAGTGTCTAAAACTAAACGATAACGAGTTTTATGGAAAATGTTGGTTAAAATATCTCAGAAACTAAAAATCCGAACTGTATACTGTAAACAAGAGAAATGTACAGCATTTCATCCTATTTATTATGAGCTATTATTTATAATTTATAGTTCATATTGTTAATCTCGCCTTGTTGATGTTTTCTATAAACTATAAACTATAATGTGCTTTAAATCACACACCTTAGTTTTTTTTATCCGTGAGTAGTCAAATATATAATAGTGAGTAGAATTCTTTCGGAATTTTGTATTCACGGATAACCTAAACTCATGTGTATCAAACACACAAATGTTAATGAGGGATTACTGTATTTCATAACCATCTTGTTCCGTAAATTATATTCTCAAACAAAAAATCAGAGGACTTGAAATATAGGTAACTTTGTAACCAATGAAAAAGGTGAGGAAGCTACTTTGACTCTACACGAAAAATATTTTATCTTTAGCAAAATTCTTAATCCTTATTTTCATCATATAACAAGTTATCTCCTATTAAAACTTCATATCTTGTCACCTTGCTTATTTACTGATTCTTGATAAGGCTAATTAAGAAGAAGGATACTTAATCTCTGTTTAAACAGACCTTACAACTGTTACCTCTAGTGTGTCTTAGCCGAATACATTTTATGGTACATTGTCTAATTTTTATTACGTATATATAATTTCGTAGTTACACTACGAGGGTTGTAAAAAGATGGAATTCGGACCTCGTAAAAAAAATATCAGTAATGTATTACGTATAATATGCTGATAGTTACGCAGCCCCGACAAAAAGGGAGGGGGGCAGCCGAGGCCAGCCCACACAGGTTAATTTTTTAACTTTTAAAATTAAAATTAAGTATAAATAAGATTATATATATATATATATATATATATATATATATATATATATATATATATATATATATATATATACGTATTTACATATATAAGGCTGCAAATAGCTTTCAGTGGTAAATTTAATATTTGATTTAGGCTTGGTAAAATTATCCCTGGCGCTCTTGATATCTTCCCACGGCTCTGCAATAACGTACAAATTATAGATTATACAAATATCCCAGTAAAATCACTGCTTTTGGAATTTTTAAAACTTTATCTCATAGATTTTTCTCAACTAAAAGTAGGAAATGCCACAGAAAAATTCTGTCGCTTTAATCTTTTTTGGAGAAGGCTTTCATTTATTAAACAAAAATACCTCATGAACTGAAAAAAAAAAAATTATTTTTGCAGACCTGTGTTAGCAGCGTAACGTGATGATGAATAAAGCAGTTCTTTTATATCTTGCAATAAGAAACATGAAGCTATTTTATTTTTTCAGTTCATACATGTGAAGAACCATAATAAACATTAAGGCTTATGCCACATGCTTAAATAAGGATCATTAAGTGCGCAAGGTATCAGAATGGTTTATAACATTAAAGCATATAAATTACAGCAAAAAACCTAACTTTGTTATAAAAAATTAATTAAAAATATTTATGAAATAACTATAGGAAATGTATCCAAATTCGTAGCCCATAATGTCTACCAAACACCAGAAATTAGAAAAAAAAAATCATCCCTAAGTTTTTATATAGCTGTATCAGCTGTGAAAATCGTGTAAGTGGAATTTTATAATATTTTATAATTATCACCAGAGAACTATTTTTCTGCGACAGTTACATAGGTGAACATTCCTTTGTAATAGAAACCTGAAAATTGAACTTGCACCTGTAAAAATTCCAAACTTTGAATTGAATTTTTCCATAAATATCATGTTTGCATTTGACAAACTATGCACAGGTACCACAGATGATAATTACTTACTAATATGTTTATAAAACAGAATACCTATATTAAATTTTAGAATTAAATTATTAATGTTTGGCTAGATAATGAATATTTTTACAGAATTATTGAAGAAGTTAGTCGACTGTTCTACATATCATGGGTGATAAATATTCAGGACGCAGTCATTATAAAGTTTTTATTAGTGCCGACGTTTCAACCCAAACACGTGGATCATCATCAGGGCGTGGTTTGAGCACTGGTGGTATTCAAGTACTCAGTGCTCGAAACACGCCCTGATGATGACCCACATGTTTGGGTTGAAACGTCAGCACTAATAAAAACTTTATAATGACTGCGTCCTGAATATTTATCACCTTAGCGTGTCTTAGCGTTCGGTAATAAATTACTGAATATCCATCATCACTAGCGGATCCAGGATTTAATTTTGGGGGGGAGGGCTTCAGCCCGAACCCTTTTCTTTTCATAAAAATAACGATAATTACTTTGGAAAAACAGAATGAAACTAACTACCTATATGAAATGGTGTTTAGGTTATTCCTTAAGTACTTTTGATGTAATGTTTTTTTCCTAATTCTCTGCTATGAAACTTTTCACTCCGAAAATTCATAACCATTTCGAAGGGGTTGCCTGGTTCGACGGGGCGCCCCCCTCGAGAATTTAATTATCAGTCAAAATGCGCTCCCCTCAAAAATTTTGAAGGCGCGACTCGCGCCATGAAACCCCCTTCTGGGCACCCAGGTAAAACTTGTATGTAGTTTATTTTGGAAAACTATAGTTAAGATGGGTAGATAAATGAAGCAGATTTGTAAAATTTTAAGTGTTCATATTATTATAATATAATAAATAATAAAAAAGAGTCAGTGAATCAAAGTTTCCATCCCGGTATATATTTTTTTATATACCCAGCCATTTCTGGCATACGGGAAGATTATCATACTGGTAAGCAGTGACGGATTTGGGCATTCGGCGCCTAGGGCAATGGAGTCATTTCTCCAACTCCCTTCGCTAAAAAAATTTAATTTATTTCTTTAGCTTTTATGTTATGTAAATTTTTTTTCGTTTAATTTTTCTCTTTTACAGTTGCTTTATTAACAGACTAAAATTAATTATTTTAATACGTTTTTTTATTATTTTAAATTTCTAACAATTGGCGAGCACCCCTGATGATCAGCTCCCCCAACGGGAGACTCTCTAGATCGGCATTGCTGGTAACCAACCATTTCTTGCCAGAATAGAAAGGTATTCTGGTTTGGTAAATAAATTCATTGGATCCGCCAAGAGATAAATTTCAGCCTGCCCAGATCTTGGTCAACACATCGGATGTTTGTCGCCGTTTGAAGAAGGCTTTAAGTAAGGTCTATGGTATTTTAAAATATAATAGTTCACGAAATAATTTAATATTACAACTGACAGTAGACGGCCTTTGTCTACAATCTGCTTTATTGAAAATAACTGCCTTTTAATTCCTGCTTATTAAGAAGGGGCCGGTTCACACCTGCTGGCAGAGCATCCGGTCCAGGTGACGGCTGAAGTGCAGAGTGGAGAGAAGTGGACGGGCGATTATTGCGACAATTAACCCAGGCCTGACGTCAGTTAGGTGAAGCCCCCAATCCTAATTGAGACGCCCACTTTGTGAAAACTAATTAGGCAACAATTGCTATATGATGGCCGGAACTAATTCTTTAATTAGATAATGGCCCTACCACCCCCTCCGCCTCTTGTCCTCACACTCTTCCATTCTTCATATTACAAATGTGTCCCTGTTGGATCCTACTATTCTATTGCTTCAATATTTGATGTTCCCGAAAATAACATCTTAATGGATGCCTTTATCTTTCGGGGAATCCTAAACTCCAAAATTTGTCCCGAACTATTTTTTCAACGAAAACAGAAATATTTATTTTTTATCATACCTCAAAACTATAATATTCGTGGTTAGAATTGGAATCTCTTTTTTTATTTTTTAATGATATTTACAACTGTATTGAAGAAATACATTTAAATTTGAAATGTAAATTTGAACATATGGATATAATGACGTGAAAACGCTTGCTGAGTAACTACACAGCGGTAGCACTCTAATGATGTGTCTACATTAGGAGATCATGGGACCATCTTCTTTTCAGACGCCTCGGAGGGTTATCAGGAATCGAAGAGGAACCAAGGTTAGAAACGAGAGGATTCGGATGGTTATGAAGTTTATTATGGAAGGATAGGTATCTGGATTGTGCCAGATCTGAAACATAAGAAACATTAAGGTCATTATGGATGGTTTCATTTGTAACAAAGTAGGGAGCATTGAGATGTTTACGAAGGATTTTGGATTGTAAGGATTGGTACGAAAGGAATTCGATGGTTTAGTGGAGTCCCGTAGGTCAACACCATAAGTCCAAATAGGCCTTATTACAGTCATGTATATGAGTTTTTTTTAATTAATTGGAAGTTTAGAGCGTTTGTCTAGTAACTGCTGAAGTGCGGTTTCTTGTCGTTTCAGTCTGGTATGGGGATTCCAAGTTAGTCGTTTGTCCAGGTGGAGTCCTAGGTAGCGGATTTTCTCAACAGGGATAAGTGGAGTATTGTTAAAGGAAACTGTAGGACAGGACGTCATTGGTTTATGACGAAGAGTAAAGTTCAATTTAGAGAATTGGATTTACAACTATA